TTCGACTGGGTAATCTGAGGCACAAAGGTTCAATGATATTCCCCCTAAACACGGTCATTGAAGCATGGAGCAGAACGAAGGTCCTCGAGTGGCTGTTTTGCTCTCTGGCCACCCACCAGCAGCTTCTGTTTTGCCCTTTAGAGTCACTGTTCTCTCTTCCGATTTAAATGCGGTCACAGGTGCTTTCTTAGATGTATCTGTGCTGGGTTTTGGGGACTGACTCAACTTAAGTCTCCCTTAACATGCCACGTTATTAATGAGACATAGATGTATCGGAGACACAGAAAATTCTGTTACTTTATGCCAGGGAAAAATAATAAACAACCATAGAATCAGATCAAGCCAAGTGCAATTATCTGGCAAAGAAAAAGAAACATGAAGCTCTCTCACCATCAGTTCTCCGGGTAGCTCACCAATTTTAGGTCAAATCATCTCCTGGCACACTTTTAATGGTGACAAAGTTGTTAGCTCCCTTCAAAGCTCACTCAAGTCTAATACCTCAGTTCTCCCCCGAGCTCCCCTGTGACCTTCCTCCTGCCCGCCACAGTGTCCCTTACCCACCTGACCCACTAATCTGTTAGGTTTTCTCCACTATTACTTATTCCAAGTCTGCAGGGCACAGAGCAGAGGGTTACATCCAGGATTAGTCAATGAGTCTACTAAGTTTATTTTACTTATAATAACTGACTTCTTATATATAATATATATATTTATAATATTTTGTTAACCTCTACAAACAGATATTCAAAGGGAAAAGACAGCATCTTATGAAAAAGACAACTTCCCGCTCTACCCATTTGAATTGTCTAAAAGCAGTGGAATAAACAAGGCAGAAGCTTTGCAAACATCGGGAGGGAAGTCTTCGAGAGGACGCAATGGTACAGCAGCTACTAATCTGACATATATATTACATACGGACACATGTCCGTGTATATATGTATGCATGTATTTTACACATATATCCATATCCATATAAATAAAGGAAGAGATTACAGCATGACATGACGTTGGCAAATTTGAGATTCTTCCTCTGGAATGCCCTGACTTATCAGCCAGTGCTTTAGGGTATCTGAGAACAGTTTCAAAAGAGGGGGGAAAAAGAAAGAAAAAAAAAGGCACTTAACAAAGACAAAGGCCTGAATTGAGTATGTTTAGAGGAGTAATATAAGCTTTCACCAGATCTAAGAAATGATTTACAGAGTTAAAACTTTTCCCCTTAAATTTTATAAAATAAAATTGCATAACATGTTTATAATCAAGTCATTTATCAACTACTGCATTTTTCCTCTGCTTCATCTTTACAAAAACAAAAGCCCCACCTCCGTCCCCCCAGCAGAAACAACACCCCCAAACCACTCACACATGCACGCTAGGAAGGAAACGCCCCTTTGGAGAGTAGCTTCAGTCAGCACAAAGCACGGGGCTGAAGCCAGGGCAAGTTCTCTAGTTTGGCCTGGTCAAAACCCTCTCAGTCTTCTACTTCTACACTGAACAAAAACAACACCAGCAAACGAACAAAAGGCAAACACAAATTTAAAACCCAAACGATAATCCAGGGACCAGTGTGCTTTTTTTACGGTACACTCCTAAAACCCAGTCTGCTAACTCTACACATAGGTCAAATAATGACAAAGCCTCCTAGAAATAAAGAAATGAAAATCAGATTAAAGTCGACCAATACAGGTAAAGTTCATTTTACAAACGTAGCAGCAAATATGACAGGTAACTGGAGTGCTAAGAGACGGTCCCGCGGGACAGAGTTCTCATAATCCATGGCAGTTTGAACGACAGTAGAATTTCCATTTCAGAAAGTATCTTGAACCAAGCAGAGGTGGAAAGGGCTGAGGGCAAACAGAGAAAGACTAGAGGTGTCTGCCCTTTCCAGCTCTGGTGAGTAAACAATTTAGATCTACTTTGGGGGAAAAAAGGTCCTGAATTAAAAATCGTTTCCAATCAGTCGGTTTCAAACAGGTGTCAAACCCACAGTATTTGAACTTGGACGTGCCCCCTCCTCCTCGTGCCCTGGCGACTGACTCAATGAGCCCTCCTCAATGTCTCTGCTGGGAACAAATGTGATCTGGGCAACAACATCCATCAAAGGGGTGGTGGGCGTGGAAGTATGTGCCAGTGGGCTTCTCTGCGCTCCCCTCCTCCCGGGATTCGGTGCCTGCAGGCTAACCTCACCTCCTTCCCCCAAGACTCTTTTCTTCAGCCTGTCCAAAATCATGATTCCTTTTACCCTTTGATCTCCGAAGCCTCTGAGAAAGAATGGTCTACTTTAATGGAAATTATTGCTTGCATTTCTTCCGGAGGCTCTGAATGAGCTTGACACTTGCTCCCCAACAGTCTCCAACTGGGGCTCAGCGAGGCTGAGGACGCCTCCGCTGACCGTTATTGCTTGTGAATACTGAGGAGTAACTTGTATGTACAGTAACGGCTTAGACATCAGTGAAGGCAACTGAAAATACAAGACAGTTGAGAACACTCAGCTTCGTTTTCCTGAATCAAGAATCCCGCTGGGGGCGGAATGGAGTGTGCTGATTAACTTTGCATTGGGATGTTGCTGCTAACGCTCTTCAGAGATACACATTGCTCTACAGGCTTTCCAATTACTTACCATCTGAAAAAATAACGTAATTTGACTTTTAAGTGCAAAAATACAGTATGATCCACAAGTCTCTGTGCTAAAAAATAACCAATTTATATGTTCGTTCTTTTGTAGTAAGAAAACTATAAAGATAGGCGACTGTCCAGTCTGGACACCATATTCAATGTTATGATCTAGAAAAGAAAGTCTTGTATTTACATGTAGGAACTCTCTGATCATATTCATCTAGTAAGAAATACACGGATGCTTGTTTCGTCTGTACAACATAAAAGGGCGGCTTTGACTGAAATGCACGTAAGTTAGTTTGTGAAAATGTGGGGAGTGAGGGGAGATCCGGCAACCGTCCTCGAGACCCAAACTGAGACAATCTTTGTGCGTGAAGGCGAAGGGATCTTTATACGGCATGATTCAGAACTGATGAATTTAAAAAACTAGAAGAGGTTTTCCTTGATTTAAACAAGTAATGGATTTATATATTAATAAATTTACGTGCACAGATACACACGTCAAGATGAATACATGCACGGTTATCAGCAGGAAGAGAGACTGATACTCTGGCTTCTCTGGCAGAGGAAACAAAGGCCGCTTCCAGTAGGCAAAGTCCTTTCTAGTGTTAGCAAAGACTACCTCGTGCCCCCAGTAGGTTAAAAACAAGTATGAGACATTGGCATAGCTCAAGGAATGGATAAGCCTTCCGAATTGAAGAGCCAAACAGACGATAATGAAATATATCAATAGGTCAAACTTTTCTGCCATATCCCAATATACTTCTAAAATATCTGCCAAGATTGATAGAAAATTCTCAGCGATATGCTGTAAACTAAACTTTGAAATAAACCTTTCCCCCTAATGAACTAAGTTCTTGGAACTAAAGAGTTTTCAGTTAATGACTTTTTTGCTAGAAGCAAGACGATGTAACTTTGAAGTCAAAATATAGGTATACAGATCGCAACAGATCTGTGGTTTTTATTCACAGTCTGACAGGCTATATTTGGGACTTTTGTTTGTAAACAAAAGGATAGCAATTTCCTTATCTGAATAAACTACAAAATACGTGGTGACTTATAATGAAAACATGCAAGAAATCTTGCTACTGAAAATATGATGCGGTTTTGGATTAGTCCATCACCATAATGGACCAAGCTTTCACCATTCGTGGGTTTAGTCTGCAAACACTCAGAAGCCCAAGGGAGAGGGAGTGAAGGCGAAAAGAGAGAGATGGTGGAAAGGGGCAAGGAGAGGGTGGAGAAAAAGGAATGAGAGAGAGGAAAAGAGAATCTGACTGACCAAAACTAGGGGGGAAAAGAGGCAAAATATTTAAATGTATTCGAACAGAACAATAAATTTCTTTCTTAAAGTTCTTTGTTGAATATGCTATTTGCATCAGGAAGCTGAAATGACTAAGGAGTCTCATATCTCATTGATATGTGAGGAAATCTCACCTATCAACACTCTGAGTAAATATTAGTAAAGCTTTAAGATCCCAAATGCTCCAAATCAATTTCACTACACTGAATACAGGGAGTATAAATACACTGTGATTGTTATAAAAAATAATTCCTTGTACACATAATGATCCTAATGCAATTACTCCCTTTAAAATACTATCTTAAAAATTCCAAAAATATATATATATGCCATTTGAATGACCAATGAAGAAGTATATGTCGTCCACACACCTTTTCATATCAATAGTTAATATCACCTGAAGTACCACTAGCTAAAAGAACAGAAAGAGAAGTGAACGGAGCTGAAGGCGGGGGTATGTACAGTTCGTGGTGGTCGGGCCTGCGAGCGCCAGAGAGCACCAAGGCCACAGCCCTACTTCAAGGACCCCCCGGGTCTCAGGAGAAGAAACAAACGTGACCAGAGTCCCATTTCAACATCAAGAATGGTAATGGACCAGTCACGACCAGCTGCGACCAGGGGGAGTTAGGCCCCAGCTCCTGGCCGCAAGACGAAACAGACCCTTTCACAAAAAGGGGCCATGGAGTTCCATCTGCCAAGAGCGACAGGCTCCGTTTCTTGACTTAGCAGTCGTGTGACCGGGTCATCTAACTGTGCTAAGAAAACTCGCCTGGAGCACCTGCGACCACCGGCCCCGCGGGGCGCGGCTACACACGGGAGAAGATTCAAGTCTGCTCAGGATTTTCTAGGGTACAGTATTTCCTCAGCTCCTGCCTCGGGGGACAGAGAGTCAAATCACTTTTGTGGCAAATCTGCTGCATAGTCCATTGGTCTTTACTCCTGACCCTGCCTCGGTCCAGATCTGCTGCCTTCTCCCCTGCTACGATGCCTGCCAGTGCTCAGATCCAACCCCCAGGATGGATGGAGTTTACCCAAATTCCTCAATTCCTTCTTCCTTCCCCCGACCCCCCCCCCCGGGGGAGGGGAAAAAAAAATGATACTTCTGTGGGTTTGACAACTGAGTCTCTTTCAAGTCAGTGAATATGGTTAACTGTGTCTTTCTTTAGGAGAGACCAGAGGTCGCTCACCGTGCTAGAGAGCACGGCTTCCTCCTGCAGCTGGCTTTACTCAAGTAACGGTTTTCTTTTTCCTCCTCACCACAGTGCTCGGGACGAGAGAATGTAAACATCGACAGAACAGCAGCCCTATGACCACATGAGTCCGTTCCCATCAGGTAGATCCCATCAGCCAGCTAAGTGTCTCATCTCCTTGGCTTGCTGGGAAGTCACTGAGATTTCCGTGGTAACTTAGTGTCCCCTTTACTTTGGCCTCCATCTGAGAAAAAGAGAGAGACAGTAACGGTTTGAGTGGGTGCGTTATGAACGGTAGAAAGAAAAATACATTAATTTTTAATTTTCAATGGGTCAAGTTCAGAAACATAAAAGGTCTTCTTTTTTTTTTTTTGGTCACACCCAGCTTTGCACAGGGATTACTCCTGGCTCTGCACTCAGGAATTACTCCTGGCAGTCCGCGGGGGACCACATGGGATGCTGGGAATGGAACCCAGTGGGCCTCGTGCAAGGCAAACGCCCTCCCCACTGTGCTATTGCTCCAGCCCCAAGGACTGTCTTTTAATATCTTAACTTTTAATATCTAGAGTATTATAGAGGTTAAGGACACATGAAGGTCTGGTCCAGCGCCATAGTCAGTGGGTAGGGCACTTATCTCACACACACATGACCTGACTTTGATCTCCAGCCCCCTTATGGTCCCCTGAGCACTGGCCAAGACAAAACCATGAGCACTACTGGGTGTGGCCCCCAAAACAAAAAAACAACTCCAACCTACAAACCACGAAGGAGACATTAAGCCCATGACTGGCTCTCATGTCACACGGCTAGGGTTCAACAGGCTTCAGTGCCCTAGAAATACTTAGTGTCCGGTGCAGGGAGGATTCTAAAGCAACAGAAAGCGCCCGAGAGAAGCCTCAGTGGGCTGAGCCCAAGCCCCTGCACCGCAGGGACCCTCCAGCACAGAAGCAGTGAGCAGTGGTGCCAGGTCTGTGCTGGGTGTGGCCCCAACTGACATAAACAAAAAAAGATACAAGCCCCGCCTCCAAAAGAATCTATCCACCTACCCATCAATTTTCTTGGCCACATCTACACTCTAGGATCACTACTGATGGGGCCTGGGGAACCTATGGGTGGCCAAGGTGCCAAGGTCCCTGTATGCAAGTCAAGAGCAAGATAGTACATGCAGTACTAGCTTTCTGGCTCATATTCCATCTTTTTTTTTCTTTTTGGGCCACACCCAGCGGAGCTCAGGGGTTGCTCCTGGCTCTGCACTGGACACTAAGCCAGGGGTTGCTCCTGACTCTGCACTCAGGAACTACCCTTGGGGGTGCTCGGGGGACCATATGGGATGCTGGGAATCGAACCAGGGTTGGCCACATGCAAGGCAAACGCCCTACCCACTGTGCTATTGCTCCAGCCCCTCGTTTTTGTTTTGTGTTTTGTGGCCACTTCTGGTGATGCCCAGAAATTTGTTCCTGGCGCCCAGGGGACTATACGGGAATGCTGAGGATTGACCCTAGGTTGGCCGTGAGCAAGACAAATGCCCTCCTAGCTGTACTATCGCCCCGGCCCTGCACCACCTCTTCTAACTCCTTTAGAAGACAGGTAAATTTCACATTTTTGCAAGTGGAATGAATTCCCTGGCATAGCAGTTTGTAATTAGTTCTTCATTATTTCTGTAAATAAACAGGGCACACTTATCAGCTGAGTCTCTGCTTCACCCCTAAATGGCAAACGGTATAACTGAACTCGATTACTGTCAAATAATAGCCAACAGCCGTCAAATGACTGAATCCCAGCCGCTGCACACAACAGCTTCCGTTTTCACACGCGGCTGTGTAAACTTCAGCCACTGGGAGAGGGGAGACAAAGCCCTGCAGGCAAGAGCAGGGCCCCGAGGCTGTGGGTGCCCCAAAGCAGCACACTTGTGTGGTAAGCTGCAACAGACTCCAAACGCTACCGTGACTACTCGGCTCCACTCCCGGCCCTTAATAATATGGAACACAGGATCAGCGAGGCCCTGGCCCACTTCCTAAGTAAGAGGGCAGCTATGCAGTTCCTTCTGCTTCACAGAGTCCCCGGCTGCCTTCAGAATAGTACTGGTCTCCACTTGGGAGACCAGGGAAACAGAGGCCAGACTAGGAAGACGAAAGGGCTGGACCACACGCTTCGCACACAGGAGCCCTGACTTCAGTCCCAGGCACTGCATGGTCCCCTCAGCACTGCCAGAATAGCGCAGAGCCGGGAATAGCCTCTGAGCACCACTGGGCATGCCCCCACCAAAGGAAGCTGGGGTCGGGGGCCAGGGCCATAGTCCAGCAGGTGAGGCGCTTGCCTGGCATGCAGTCGGCTCAGATTTGATTCCCAGTGCCCCATGTGGTCTCTTGAGCACTGCCAGGAGTGATTCCTGAGTGTCCCTGATTGGGGCCCCCACTAAAAACAAACAGACAAACAACAACAACAACAAACACAAGAGGATGGAGGTTATATCCAAATCCACTACTTAAATCTCTGTTTCAGAGGGTGGGAGTTGGGTAGCCAGCAAATCACACATGTTTTTTTGTTTTTGTTTTGGATCTACACCTGGCATTTTCAGGGCTTCTGGCTCTGTGCTCAGGGATCCCGACTTGGCAGGCTCCCAGGAAACATCCAGGGTGCCAGCGATTGAACCTCGGTTGGCCGCGTGCGAGGCAAACACCCTGCCTGCTGTATTACGTCTCCTGCCCCATGATGCACAGTTTCCACGTAATCACTGGAAGAGGCAGGAGAGTGTAGTGATCACTAATCCAGACTACAGGGTCAGACTTGCTGCTCTGTACCTCGGACGGAATGGGCAGTCCACCAGGAGGCAAGCTGCTTTCCTAGAAGCTTCCCGATCTAGCTCACAGGGATGAGGTTTGTTCACAAATCACAAGGTTTGTTGTGAGGATGAAATCCGCTATCACGTGCCAGGGGTTATCGGTGGCCGGACGACTACGTGGCACATGTATGCAGCTTTTACATGCGAGCTGCTCTAACTACAGGGTGCGCTCTGTCAACATTCCCATCACAAACGCTTCGCAAGGGCAGCCCGTGACGGCCAGAGGCACAGAGAGCCGGGCGCTCCCCTTGCAGGTTCAACCCTAACGTCCTACATGGCCCCCTAGCACGGACAGGAGTAATTTCCTGCATGCAAGGCCTGGAATAACCCCCTAGGTGATCGCTGAGTGTGGCCCCCCCAAGCCAAAACAAACCCCAAATGGCAACGCGGTGCGAAGAGGCTTCTGCCCATGTCACTTCCCCTCAACACAGGTCTGCTTTCTGAAGCCGTCACTGGGTTCACCCCCCTGTCCCCGTGCCGGTCCCCAGCCCGGGGCCTCTTACCGTTAAACGTCTGCTGTAAGTGCGCGGGCAGAGGTGAGTGGGAGAGCGGCGCTGCGTGCTGGGCTCCTGGCTGTAAACCCTTTAGTAAATCTGGGGGGAGAACAGCGGGTTAGTGACCTGCTCCACCGGGCGCAGGCAAGCCCAGCGCGGCCCTCCCAGACCGACCAAAGCACCAACAACAAAGCCCATGCGCCGCCCGACTCCTCCCGTCTGAGCCGCGCGGCACGGACGAGAGAGCAACATTCCTGCGCTCCTGCTCCGTGGCTCCCGGGGCCCAGCCCCACCACTTACTCTGAGTTAGGCTGTGGTGGAAAGCGGCTGAGGTAGATCCCGAGGCGGCTGTCACTCCCGCGGTGTCCGTCCCAAAGCCAAGGAGCTCCAGGGGAAACTGGAAGGGCATGGTCACTGGAACAAGGCCACCCAGCATCCCAAAAGGAGTCACATTTTGATTTGTTACAGACAAAGGTGATGTCATGAGAGTCAGAGGTGAGGCATTAGCCAATAAGGACGCTCCTGCTGTGGGCTGCAGAAACCAGGGGTCAAAACACGTCAGAAATCAAGCCTTCACCTGACCCAGTCACCGCACTTAACCTCCACCTCTGCTCTAACAGCGACGTGGCGAGACAGAAATGAAGACTCAGGTGAAAAACGCATTTCAGAGCAACGAAATTGGCTTTGTTACGACCCTTCGCTTTCGGCACCCAGTTTCAACTTTCTAGTGTTTATAGGCCTACCGTGGGGCTGGAGCGATAGCACAGCGGGTAGGGCATTTGCCTTGCACGCGGCTAACCTGGGTTCGATTTCCAGCATCCCATATGGTCCCCTGAGCACCACCAGGGGTAATTCCTGAGTGCAGAGCCAGGAGGAACCCCTGAGCATCTCCGGGTGCGACCCAAAAAGCAATAAAAATAAAAATAAAAAAATAATAAAAAAAAAATAAAGGCCTACCTTAACCTCTATTTAAGACACATTTAATCCACTAACATTTCTTCTTTCTTCTGTTTGGTTTTGGGGCCACACCCGCAGGTGCTGAGGTGGGGGTGGCAGAGGGTGAGCAGCCTTGACCCCTGCACTGCCGCCGGCGCCATCCACCGATTTTAACTGGACTTCTCTACTCGCTGTGTTTGCCCTTTGACTCCTATAGGAAGTGATCCATGCCCCACAACTTAGGAACCAAGTCTCTGAAAATGCAGAGCAACTTTTGTTCTTATTCAGCTTTTGGGTCATACCTGACAGTGCCTGGGGAATCACTGAGCTGAGTATGGAACATGGGGCTCCCATATGCCACCTCCCAGTCCTCACACCTTTTCCTCCTTGCCTGTCTTTCCCTCTTTCGTGCGAACTATGACAGACAAAAATGCACGTATTCAGAAAACAGTTGCTACAAATAATGCTTAAGCAACTTAGAAAAGCTATCTGCTAAAACTATATCGACCTAAAACCGAACATTCCTTTCTTCCTTTTAATCACAATTATTTGAGTCTCAGAATATTATGAGGCTCATATTCCAAAGCCACTCCCAAGGAAATGCCCCTAGTGAGGGGTATTAAATACCTTTAATAAAGAGCCTTTAAGTTTTTCTGGAGGAGGCAAACACTTAAAAAGAAGAAAATGGAAATCAGGGCAAGTTCCACAATGAAGTGACTCAGTTGGGACAATAAAAAATGGTACCACACTACATCTTGCTAACATCATGTTCTTTCAAAGAACTGTCCGCTTTGGCTTCTTTACACAACAGAGGCCACACGCCAGCTGACCGTTACAGGAGCGCCAACAAGCGCTCTCCTAGAAGATGCCCCTTTCAGTGGGAACATCATCTGGAAGCACAGATGTGGCGGCATAATGCAGGCTCATTAGCTGGGTCATGCCCCATATGCAGACTTTCCAGGGCTCCTACTTCCTTCCCAGAGCAAAAGGGAACAGGAAACTTGGTTCTTCCTGTGGTGGGCGTTCCAGTTCTCTAGACCATATTTCAATTTGTTGGGTGCATCTGTTCCCCATTCTCCACAAGACCAGACAGACCCGTTATGAGCATCAGGCCGGCCAGACCCTCCCTGCCGAAGGGCCTCATCACTGCACACACACAGGATAAACCCACACAGTCTCCACTCCAGCTGCTGCTTAATCGTGGCCTCATGGCCTTGCCCACCTCTCCGAGAGTGGAGTCCCCTTCCTGTCGAGCTCTTTCTCCCTCTTTCTCCCTGGTGCCTGGCTAGTCCCCCTCACATCTTGCACCTAGTATGCAATTCCCAGTCTACCTGCGGTCTCCTCAACGAGATCTTCCTCACTCCTCAGTTACGTGTCACCGCTGTCACTCTATTGTTCATCTTACTAGGGTGGGGGGGCAGTGCTCAGATGGTCCAGGGGCCTCAACTAACAATTCCTGGCGACTGGACAACTGGTTCAGTGCAGGGTTTGAGGATGTGATGCTGCAGGGGCCCGTGACGCTGGGGTGACCACGTGGTTCTGGAAAGCAAGACTGGGTCAGGTACTGACCAGGCATGCCTCACGCCCACTGGACCATCTCCTAGCTTTGCTATTCGATTTGTGTCTGTCACTTTCCAGACTTTTAGTTTAGTTTTTTTTTTGAGAGCCTCACCCAGAGGAGAAAGGGTTACTCCCGGCTCTGTACTCAGGTGTCACTCCTGGCTGACAGGACACCATAGGAGATGCCGGAGGATGAACCCAGGTGGGCCAAGTGCAAGACAAGCGCCTACCCGCTGTAATATGGCTCTAGCCAACACTCAACATAGCTCTAAAAACTCCTGTGTTTTGCTTATTTTCCATCTAAAGTATATGCAAACCCACAAGGAGGGGTCTCAAGTACAATCTTCACCCCATGCCCCTAGCATCAAGAAGAGTGCCTGGCACAAACACAACATGTGGTAAACACTTGTTTAACAAATAAATGATTTGGGGGAAATTATAAAGGGGGCAAAGATAGAAAATCAGTATCATGAAAGAAGTTGAGTAGAATGCTATTAAAGGAGAAAGTAGTAAATACCACCCCCCCCTTTTTTGGCCAGTAATGCTCCCAGCAATGCTCAGGGGTTACTCCTGGCTCTGTACTCAGGAATTACTCTGGAGGTGCTCAGGGGATCAGATGGGATGCCGGGGACTGAACCGGGTTGGCCCCATGCAAGACAAATGCCCTCCCTGCTGGACTACTGCTCTGGCTCCAAGCCCCCAGTTATTTTTATGTTTTGGGCCACACCCGGCTGTGCTCAGGAATCATTCCTAGCAGGGCTTTGGGAACAATATGGGGTGCTGGGACTGAATTTGGATCAACCCCGTGCAAGGCAGGTGCCCTACACACTGTACTATGGTACCAGCTCCCCAGAAAAGAAAATTTTCTAGGTGTCTTTGGTGATGGAGCAGAACGTGAAGAGGGGTTTTTCAGACTGGAGTTGGACACTCCAGAGACAGACCTAGAGGCCACACACAGCTGACACCACTTCAAGAAGATGCTCCAGGAAGAGCAAACAAAATCAAAAGCCTGGATATACCAAAGGGCAGAAACAACATTACTCAGTTACTGATTATGTTCCCTGTCAAATCAGGAAGACATAACAGCCCGGCACGGGTTCCAAAAGAGGACACCGAGGTCTCCAAATCACAGAGCCTTTTCACAGAGAAAGAAAACCAGGTGGGACCCATTCCATTTTAGGAACACAAAATGTGTTCTGTAGGGCCCCTGGAGCCAGCTTGGCTAACCAGTATGCCAAGCATCAATGGTCTTTTGGGACAAATGATCAGGTATAGGACCATTTCCAGGAGAGGAGGGAAAAAAAACCCCGATACATTCTGGTGACAAAAACATAAAGAAAGATTTAATGCTAAATTCAAGGAAAACAAAGCAAGTAGAAAAATGCCAAAAATTTGGAGTAAAACAAAAAATCAAGTCATACTTTACAATATATAGCTCAACAACAGGGAAGAGAGATAGTAAGTACAGTGGGTGGGTGCTTGCCTCGCACACGACCGACCGAGGTTCAATCCCCAGCTCCCCCTATGGTCCCTTCAGCACCACCAGAAGGATTGCTGAGTGCAGAGCCAGGAGTAAGACCTGAGAATCCCCGGGCGCAACTCTCCCCCCCAAAAAAACAGCTCAACAATGTCATGGACTTAATTAAGAATCGTGATGTTACTCCTTCTGGAGAATGGGACAGGTGAGAGAGCTAAAATTTTATTCATCTTAATGAGATGTCAAAAGATAACCCAAATTTTTATAAATGGAGAGTCTCCTTCCCAGCACGCACTCCCTTCACAGAAGGCGGGCACTTGCCTTATCTGTGGCCAACCCGGGTTCCATCTGGTATTCCACATGGTCCCTCAAGCCTCTGCCAGGAGTAAATCCTTAACATTGCCAGGTGTAGCCCCCAAACAAAAACAAAACAATCTCAAAACAAGAACAAAAGAGTTTCCCTTCACTAACACTTTAACCAAAAAAAAAAAATTAATAGTTAAGCTGCTGACATTAGGAAGAATATGAGGCAAGTAACCCTGCAGTTCTTTTTGGTAGGGCGTGTGGGGAGGGTATGGTGGGGGTGGCCACACCAGCAGGCCCAGGGCTGACTCCTGAGTGAGGTCACTCCTGGCAGTGCTTGGGGCCACGCAAGGCAAGGGCCTCAATCCGTCCTCCCTCCCTCCCTCTCCCTCTCAGGGCTTACTCCTGGCTCTGAGCTCGGAACTCAGGGATGACTTCCGGTAGGCACATGGGACCCTATGGGGTTCTGGGGATCGAAGCTCTCGCCGGCCCAAGGTTTCCCCCCTTTGGGGAGGGATCACACCCAGCAGGACTTGGGGCTGCTCCTTCCTCTGCACCTGGGGAACCCTATGACACGAAAACAGACCCTGGGCCTCCTACATGCAGAAAAAGAAAAGGAAAGGAAAAGAAAACCGCCAACATTTTAGTAAATAAAGTAGTCGCCTAATGCCCAGACATTAGCTGTAACTTAAAATACAAAAACTAGCATCAGTCTTTATTATTTTCTAATATAGATAAAATGTCAGTTAATTTTTGTTTCTTTTGAAGTGGGGGCACTCCCAGCAGTGCTTGGGGGGGAGACTGCACAGCGACAGAAATTGAATCCCTACATGCAAAATAGATGTGCCAACCTTCCTGGCCCTAACGGCAGGCTTTATTTTTGTTCTGAGGCCCACCCAGCACTGCTCAGGATTCACTCCCGGTGGGCTCAGGATCCTTATGGGGTGCCGGGGATCAAATCGGGGTCTGCCACGTGCAAGCTAAGAGACCCACCTGGCTGTACTACTGCTATGGTCCTTATTTTATTTATTTATTTATTCATTTATTTATGAGCCATGCATGGCATTGCATGGTGCTTACTCCTGGCTCTGTGCTCAGGAATCAGGCCTGGTAGAGCTGTGCTGAGTTCGCTGTGTGCAAGGCAAGCACCCTCGTCACTCTACTACTGCTCCAGCCCCTAATTTCAGATGTTCATTTGGTGCCAGTTAATCAAATTTTTTCTTTATAGGAAATCTGGAAAAAAATTCACTCCTAGGCCTATAGAAATGGCAGAGCAATGATCTGGGAATTAAATGTAACTACTGAAAAACAACACTTAAATTGCCAAGAACCTCTCAAACACAAGGCGCAATTTGTTCATTAGCTGCTCCAATTCTACGTCAGGAAGAGACACTACAAAGTCAGAGCACTTTCTTAAGACAACACAATTCTATAAATCATGAAGCTGTGTTCTTAAAGAATTTGTTCAAGAACCTAAGAGCACATCATAAAATGTCATGTATTCAAAGAAAACTGTTACGAAGCAAAATATTACATAAAATGTACTTTCTGGGGAAAAAGCCGATGCAAGTACCAGAAACATATAAACAGTGGTGAAACAATGGGTGAGTTTTATTTCCTTTTCCACCTGAATTTTACTTACTTTTAGTGGGGGAAAAATGTTAAAGAAACCAAATCAGAAGATGGAGGTCAAACCTGAGAATGTCTCAGAAGATAAAGATGTAGCAGAAAGATGAAAACAGTGATAATATGGAAGACAGAAAGTCAAAGAGATGAGCAATAGAGTACTTGACCTGCACTGACGGATTAGAATTAACAATAACACATATACAGAAAAAAATTTTTTTTTTGTATCATACCCAGTGGTATTCAGGACTTACTCCTGGCTCTGTACTCAGGGATCACTCCTGGAGAGTTCAGGGGACCAGATGGGGATTGAACCCAGGTCAGCTGCATACCAGGCAGGAGCCCAACCTATGTGTTATCGCTTTAAGTATTCTTTGGTTTGAAGAATATTAAAGAATATTGCGTGTTGAAAAATAGCCAGGTTTGAGACTGAACGACAGTACGATGTTCTAAGTACAAAATAATGAAAATTAGATAAACCTAGCCACAGTTTGGGAAAACCTGTATTTCAAAGAAAGAGTGAAAAATGTACTGGCATTTGAGTAGGGACTTGTGACTTTTAAGAAAACAAAACAGCAGAAAGGCCTCAGACTTATCTATAAATATAAACGAAGGGGCTGGGAGACAGCCAACGGCTTAGCATCACCCAGATGTGGGCTTGATTCCCTGAGCATCTCCGATTGTTGGCCCTGGAGGGTCAAAACGCTGGTATCCCCAGCACTGCAAGGCTCAAGCAGCACTGCATCCACGGGCCTTTGCACTGAAGCATGGGGCCAGCCCTGAGAATCACCCCCAGGCGTGCTGAGTGCTGTGTGGGAGCCGCCCCCCACCTAAAGACCCCAAATGCAGCAAGTCAGTGGGGCAGTCTGTCCGGCACTGGAGATGACATTCCCTCATAGGGAGCAGCAAAGAAAGGACCAAGTGCGCAAGAGCTCAGGGAAGTAATACGGGAAACGTGCAGAAAAGACCCCTTGAGTTCCTTCCTCACAACTCCTACTAGCTGAGATAAATCACTTAATCACTTAATCCCCGTTATTCATCGATTTATTCGAGCGGGTGTCAGTAACGTCTCCATTCATCCCGGTTGCGAGCTGAGATAAATATGAATAAAAAACTCATGACTGAGGAAACTGTGGTGTCAAAAAGACCACTGTGTTTCCTAGGACCTCCAGGAAAAAACTTACACTCAACACAGAGGATTACATATGAATAGCTGCAGGGCTCTGCCTAAAACTCTCTCCACCCACCCCTCCCCACCTACAGAGAGGATCACTGGCATCCCATATGGCCGCCCAGCACTGCCAGGAGTAATCCTGAGCCAGGAGTAACCAGAGCACTGCCAGGTGTGGCCCCCAAAACAAAACAAAATAAACCCCAAAAACAATCAAACAAAACAACAACAAAAAAACCCCATCGGCATAAAACTTTTTCATTTGAGAAGATAAATAATTAAAGAAAAATATGTGCTTCAATTATATCAGAAAATGGGAGAAGTAGAATGAGGGAAAGACAAGTAAAATTAAGTTAAGTGAACACATCTGGCTTTAGACTTCATTAGGGCAGTCCTAAACAATGCATTTAGATGTGAATCAGAAAATCATTCTGGTACTTAAATAACGGGGGTGGGGGAGGGGAAGAAACCTACATGCCTGTAAAGACCGTTGTCGTAAGTCTCCCCATCGCTGGCTGAGGGAGTGATGAAGCCTATCGGTGTTGGGAGCATCCCTGGGCCAGAACACGCCTGTCTCTACACCCTCCTGCAACCGATGTTTCCCACCATCTCCCAAGAACGTGGGGCCACGTGGCGGGCTCTCACGAGAGCGCATGCAGCATACGTACCTGCACGCTGGCCGTTCCCACTGAGGACCCTGAGGCAGAGGATGGTCTGTGTGGAGCAGACAACGGTTTAGTAGCACCCTGTGTTCCACTTCCTGTTCCCCCTGCGAGACTAGTCCTATTGGCTCCGCTCGAGTTCAGACTGCCGCCTCTGCTGGCGGGTACATTCACTGCGATCCCACTCAAGCTATTCTTCCCGAGAGTTCCAGTGGATGAAGAGTTTGTTAGCTTCGAAGGGGCCTGGAGACTTTTCGCAGACGGAAGGCCTGAAGTGCGATTCGAGGGCAGCAAGTTCAAGGTGGGAGAGTGTCTGCTCACGCCCATCCCGGCGGGCTGCTTGTGGGCGGGGTTGCTGCCGCCGCCGGAGTGGCTGCTCTGGGCGACTAGTGCATTTGGGCTGGGAGAGCTGGGGGAGCCGGCGGGCTTGGGCGCCGGGCTGGACTTCGAGAGCAGTTTACTGGAGACGGAAGGCTTAGCTGACAGAGAGGGCTTGGGCGAGGGAGAAGGCTTAGGTGCGGGCAAGGGCTTAGGAGATGTGGCGGGTTTCGGAGACGCGGCAAGTTTTGGAGATGCAGCCATTGAAAAGGGGGACTTGAAACCCTGCGCGGAGATTTGTGACACCATCGCCTTGGCTAAATAGTTACTGGAGGTAGTGGTGCTAGGTGCGGTCCTAGAAACCAGGGGGTGGGACCCTTGAGAACCATTTCCAGGCGAGGGGGTGGATAAGGGGAGGCGGTACATAAGTGGCTTATCTGAAGTCTTCAGAAGTGGGGACGAACAGGAAAGCTGGGGGTTATTACTCAGTTTCACCACGGGGTTGGTCTGGGACTTACTGATGGTTGCTTGCAGTGGAGACACGTAGTTCTGCGGGACGGTGGAATGCTGGTGCACCTTTGTGACTTGCGCTAACGAAGAAGCATCTTGGGCCTCGGGTGTTCCCAGCGCGTGAGAGGAGGCAGCCGCTTGGGCCGGGGAGGAAGAGGAGCCGTGGGCTTGGGAAGAGGCAGCGTGGAGGTGGCTCGCCCTCTGCAGTCCCTGCTGAAGCAGCCTGGCCGGCAACGGTTCTAAGGAGACTTTCGGGTTCTGGATCGAAGAACCAGCAATAAGGCCTGAAGAGATGCCAGTATGAGCTAAATCCTGGGGTTTCTTTGGTACTGGCCCGGTATGGCCAGCGATGAGACTCGACGAATGTGCAGTCTGAGCAGAATCGAGTTTTTTCGGCGCAGCCAGGGGTAGCTTACTCATGATGCTTGCGAGTTTCTCTTCTCTGAGTCCCGGGCGAGGCTTGGCCGTGGGCACGGTGAGCCGGGCACCGGCTGGAGGGCCCTTGCTGCCGCTGTTGAGAGCAGCGAGAGCCTCAGAGACCAGCTCCAGTGCGGGCGGAGGAAAAGCAAGGTCTTCATCGAGGGAGTCATCGAGGCAGATGGGCTCCTGGGCTGGGCCCGAGGCGGAACTGGTGGAGGCCACGGCGGAGGCGCTCGAGCCCGCTGAGGGGCCGGCCACGGCAGCCGCTGCGGGCGCGGGCGTCTTCTGGTCCCTCTTGGGGCTGCACTCCTAGTGCGAGCAGCATCGTGATGGGGAAAAAAAAGAATGAAAGAGAATCACAAAGCATTAGTTTCTCAAGGCCCGGGAAACCCTCCTGCTGATAAATTCAAATGCTACCGGAAACTTTGCTTTAGGCTATAAAAAAATTTTTTTTTCTTTTTGGGTCACACCCAGTGATGCACAAGGGTTCCTCCTGGCTCTTCACTCAGGAATTACCCTGGTGGTGCATGGGGTACAATATGGGATGCTGGCAATTGAACCCGGGTCGGCCGCATGCACGGCAAACGCCCTACCCGCTGTGCTATTGCTTCAGCCCCAAGGCTATAAAATTTTAAGGTGACAGAGTTCTGCTCAAACCCTGCTCAGGGGCCCAGTGTCAGCTTATCTGCGGTCAGTCACTCTGAGAAGAGGACCTGAGAGCAAGTCAGCCCGCAGGAGGACTCACACTGTTACATTCCCCAAGGCCCGTCCTCCCCCACCCCGTCATCCTCCTGTCGTCTGTCTGTTCAAAGGAGGTGCTATAAGCACCTCTCCTGGACCCCGGAGAAACTCTGCCTTAACCTGCAGGGGGCATCGGACCATGACAAGCCATGGATCTAACCAGGGCTGGCTGTGTGCAAAGCATGACTTCCGTCGCTACAGATTTCTCTGGCCCATCTTAAAAACGTGTTTCGGGAGGCTGGAGTGCATGTATAAGAGGCAGGGCAAGGGCGCCTGCCTTGCTCACAGCCACCTCGGGTCAATCTCAGCACCCGCTATGGTCCCTCAACTCCCGCCATGGGTGTAAACTGCGCATAGAGCCAGGAGTAAGCCCTGAGCACTGCCAGAGGTGGGCCCCCAAAATGAAACCAAAATGTTTCACGACCAGAGATCTTGCTCCACAGGCTGGGTGTGTGGCATTCTAGAGGGCCAGAGGTCCCGCACCATGGGGACTAAACCTGAAGCAAGGAGGCAGGAGTAACCCTGAGAACTGCTGGGTTCAGCTGCCAAACTAAAAACCCCAAAACTGTACTTCACCGAAGAAACAAGAGGTCAAAGAGAGAGAGTGTAAAGGACGTAAGACACTGCCTTGCGTGGGTCTGACACTGGCGCCACATAACAGTAACATTCAAATCTGATGAGGAGGGGCCGGAGTGACAGTACAGTGGACAGGGCGTTCGCCTTGCGTGGCATCCCAAATGGTCCCCTGAGCAACGCCAGGAGTAATTCCTGACTGCAGAGCCAGGACTAATCTCTGACCCAAAAAAGTCACAGAAAGAAAGAAAGAAAATCTGATGTGGAAAAATATGCTTTAATGTTGACCAATTATTGCCACTTTAAGACCACATTCAATTCTTACCTTCACTTTGGGTTTAGGCGCAGGGATCACCTTTTTCTTTGCCCTAAGACAAAAGATTGGAAGGGAGGTCAATGCAGGATTAGTTATTAGGAAATTATACACTTGTCCAATTGCATGAGTGAAGAATTTCTTTTGCTATTTGAAAAGTTTTTTTTAAGGGAAAGAAATGTGTGTAAGTGGCCAATGTGATGTGAATAATCGCAGTATGTTTTTTTATTTCATTGCACAGCGGTAGGGCGTTTGCCTTGCACGCAGCCAATACGGCCGACCTGAGTTCGATTCCTCCGTCCCTCTCGGAGAGCCCGGCCAGCTACGAGAGTATCTCGCCCACATGGCAGAGCCTGGCAAGCTCCCGTGACATATTCGATATGCCAAACACAGTAACAACAAGTCTCACGATGGAGATGTTACTGGGCCCACTCAAGCAAATCGATGAACAACGGGAGGACCGTGACCGTGACCATTTAAAAGGCCAAACTGCTAGTGAAATACGAATGCAGAAAATACGTTTTTAAAAAGCTTTGGTTTGAGGGACAGTGCAGGGAGGAAGTACTTGTACGCAGCCCACCTGGGTGATCCCCAGAACCACATATGGTCCCTGAGCACCACCAGGAAAGGCTGAAAATGCCATCTGATTAAAACTGCCCATGTACAACATTATATTTCAAGTTGTAAGGAAACTGTAATTTTTAAAATATTTAAGAATATAGAGGCCATTAGGGGTCAGAGCAATAGAACAGCACATAAGGCATTTACCTTGCATACAGCCAACAATGCCCATTATGCCCAAGTGGGGCATGTGTGTATATTCACACACACTTACAGATACATATATGCCACTTGGGCAAAATAAATATATACCACTTGGGCCAAACAACTTCTAGGCCCTCCTATGCCACAGATTCTTATTTTCTCCTGTAAAATAACAAAACAGGAGCCGAGAGACAATACAACAGGTAAGGCACTGCCCTGCACAAGTCCTGCCTGGGTGTGATCCTCAGTACCACACAGTCCCTTAGGCCCTGTCAGGAAAAATTCCTGAGCAGAGTCAGGACTAAGTCCTGAGCACCACTGGGTGTGCCTCTCCCCTTCCAACCACCACCCCCTGCAAAAATAAATGAATTTTAAAATGTCTTATGGAGATAACCACTATTTAGCCAAATAATATATCACAAAACATACATAGTTGCCTTTTTGCTACTGCTTAAGAGGTACGGACTCTATCTGTAACTACATCACTAAGGAAGGTCCAGTTTTGAACAGAAATGAAGATATGGAGAAGAGATAAATTCTATGGAATGAAACACTTGGAAAGCAAGTGAGGTTGGCATTTAACCGTATGGTACAGCCCAAGCCTGTTGGGTACAGACGATCAAATGGGGGAAGAGACCCAGGACACAGGCCCAGCACCAAGGACCAAGGGCCCTGTGAGCTGTCCCTGGCTCTGAGCATCCCCAGGCCTGTGGACTCAGATTCTGGAGACAACAGCAGTAACATGCAACATAAACCTTCTACAATCTGAGCCCGTGCTTCCCAGCCGGGGGTCATATGCCCTTCCTGTTGTGTCCTCAAGATACCCCAAGGGGCCCAAAGGTGAACAGGCTCTAAATGGGGGACAAGGGCACGAGAATAGGGGAAGGTAATGTAAGAAGGAGGCCATGCCTGAGAAATATTCAGTGTGCCAAAAGACAATCAACAGGATCATTTGGGGTCAGGGGGGCCTCGTAATGGTGCTCAGGAGGCCCTGGGGCCGCTCACAGGGACTGGCAGCTGGGCCAGAAGGTCAACAAGAGGGGCAAGAGTGCGGTGTGCTCAGACCACTCACGTGGAGCTCGGGGGCACAACAGGGCTGCCCCGAGCCATCTTCCAGAGCCGTGAGATGTGGGAGCCACACTGCAGTCAGCGGCGTGCAGGTCCTGAGCCTTAATCCCTGGGCTCTCTCTCCAACCCTCAAAAATAATGTTTTTCTTTTTTTTTTTTTTAAACAAAGTGGCAGTGCAACAGAAATGGTTAAGTGTACAGTTATGAGCTATTCCACCTGGGATTTTATTTACTAGTGCCTAGAATGCAAATAACAAGAAATGACAAAATCTGAAATCTGCGTTTACTCACGGAGCAGAAGTGAGATGGTTGTGTACACTTCGGCTTTCCTTAAAAAGCATTCTGGAAAGATCAAAAGGACACAATTACTTTTTTTATAGCAGATAGTAACATGATAATCACATTATATCTTTTTCTTTTTTAAGTAAAGCAAAATAAGTGTCTTCCCCCGTTTTGGTTGGGGTTACTCCTGGCTCTGCACTGAGGAATCATTCCTGCGGGCCCATCTGGGACACCGGGGACTGACCGCATGCAAGGCAAGAGCCTTACCCTATGTACTGTAAGTCTGGCCCCAGAAGAAGAAGTTCTGACTAAAAGAAACTGAGAGAGGTGTGAAAGAGAGAGATACACATTCAAAAAAAAGTCTCACTTGATCACTTTAATAATTTGATTTTCAATAAGCTCTTTATTATTTAAAAAGATACAAAAGGGGGCTGGAGCGATAGCACAGCGGGTAGGGCGTTTGCCTGGCACGCGGCTGACCCGGGTATGATTCCCATCATCCCATAGGGTCCCCAGAGCACCGCCAGGAGTGATTCCTCAGTTCAACGCCAGGAGTAACCCCTGAGCATCGCCGGGTATGACCCGAAAAGCAACAACAACAACAACAACAAAATAAATAAATAAAATATAAAGATACAATAACGTATGGTAAACTCAATAAGCTTTGCAGACTTCACAGCATTTCTTTTCTGGAGATGTTTATAAGGCAACACTTTTTCCCTGCTAATTCAGCCCCACATCAAAGCAGCTATGTGTTAATTTTAATATTCTTTTTCATTTTTATGAATAAAATACTGTTATTTTTTGTGGTACCACTCCACACTGTTTTCAAGAGAACCTAAGGAGTGTCTCCTTTAGGGACTCCCTAGCAGTGCCAGGCCCAGGTCCACACAGCAGTTCTGGGTTCTCCTTTAGGGACTCCCTAGCAGTGCCAGACCCAGGTCCACACAGCAGTTCTGGGTTCTGGCTCGGGCCATGTTTCTACAAGGCTTTACTCCACCCTTCAGAGTGCTCTCCTGGGTCCATCTCTAATGATGCTCCAAGTCTTGTGAGTTAGTGATCTTCATGGATTCTCCAATGTTAATGATGTGTGCGCGCTTTACAACAGCAGTAATAAGGAAGCAAAAAAAAGCCTAGCATGTGTCCTTTCTTCCCTTCTTCCATTCTCCCTTCCTCCTTCCCTCCCTCCCTTCCTATAGTTTAGGGAACTTAAAAAATGAAAACAAAATCACTTTGTGAGGGGCCAAAGAGAAAGTACAATGGTTAGGCTCTTGCCTTGCACAGGGCTTACCTGGGTTTGATCTTTGGCACCATATATTATCCCCGAGAGTGCCAGGAATGATTCCTCAGCACAGAGCAAGGAGGAAGCCCTGAGCACTGCCCTCACCAGAAACAAACCCAAACCAACCCTGTAAAATACAAAGGCCACGACAGCTTAGGCTGGTCTTACCTTGCCTGCATCCAGCCCTTAGGCCACAATGGTTTCACCTCTGTCTCCATGAATGATTTAAGATAATCCTCTGCCGACTGACTCTTATTTGGCTCCAACTCATAGCATCCCAATTTGATCTCAACAAGGTTACACAATAACGTTCTAAATAGATTAAGAACATAGTATTTATATGCAAACTGAATTAGAAGAGTAGCTTAAAACAGAATTTTTAAAGCACATAAATGTGAAGGCAACAATAATGATTATTACAGAAAGAACATAGAAGATGACCTAAAATTAATTTTTTTGGTTTTTTTTTGGGGGGGTGGGGGGAACTACACTCGGCGGTGCTCAGGACTTTCTCCTGGCTCGGAGATCACTCCTGATGGTGCTCGAGAGGCTATAAGGGATGCTGAGGACTGAACCTGAGCAGACCACACGCAACGCAAGCAAGCTACATGCTGGACTGTCATGCAACACCTTTCTTTCCTTTCTTTGGGGTCAACTTTGGGGATGAGAGAGGGCTTTGGTCAACTCAGGGGCTATTCCTGTGTTCAGGAGAGACCCTTCACCCTGTTCAGGAGTCTGTACGCAGTATAGCGATCAAACAGAGACCACCCACGGCAAGGCAAACATCTTCACCTCTGTACCATCTCTCTGGCCCAGAAGAGAAAAAATTTTGAGGATCCATCATTCATGGCACAGAATCAAACCACCAATACAAGACAACTTCTGATTTCTTTAATCTAGCCATCAGAGATTGAAAAGGACAATCCTACAACTAAACCTTTATTTATACAAACAATATAGAAGAAATTATTTTGGTTCTGCTTAAAAGTAGGGGTTTGGGTTTGGGATGGAAACATCTGAAATATGGTGGTGGGAAGGTGTAATGGTGGTGGGATTGGTGTTAGAATATTAAATGTGAAAAATATAATTTAAAAAAAAAACACCTTTTTTATTTATGGTACAGAAATACTAGTCAAAATAGATGATCACGGGCTGGAGTGATAGCACAGCGGGTAGGGCGTTTGCCTTGCACGTGGCCGACCCAGGTTTGATTCTCAGCATCCCATATGGTCCCCTGAGCACTGCCAGGAGTAATTCCTGAGTGCAGAGCTGGGAGTAACCCCTGTGCATTGCCGGGTGTGACCCAAAAAGCAAAAAAAAAAAAAAAAAAAAAACCAAAGATGATCACACAAGTATTCTGAGAACCTCAACTGCTAATACCAGTATGGCGGGACCGGTGTGATAGTACAGCGAGTAGGTTGTTTGCCTTGCACGCAGCCGATCAGGGTTCGATCCCTTGCATCCCGTATGGTCCCCCAAACACTGTCAGGAGTAACCCCTGAGCATCGCTGGGTGTGACCCAAAAAGCCAAAAACAAAAAAACAGTACAGCTTATTTAACAGTTAGAAGACTTGCCTGAAAAGCAGTTAAATGCAAATAAAAGCAATCATTCTCTAATCATTCTCTAATCTTCTCTTGAATAAACCTTTCCTGCAAAGTAGTTTGGGGTTGGTATTCCTCCTTCCTGCCCTCTGAGCAATGGTCTGCAAGTTGGCTGGATGGTCTGTCTGTCTGGTCATCACGGGGGTCCCCAGCAAAGCTCAGGGAAGACAGGGGACACTCCCAGTGACACCTGGTCCCGCTGAGTGTGCAGTGGAGGCCAGCAGGGCCATCCCACCCGTGCCTGACCATGCGGTGCTGGGATCCGACTTGGGTCCTCGGGTACGGCACGCAAGAGCTCTGGCCTTGAACTACCCCTCAGCCTGCCCTCCCTTCTAGCCACCACAGGTTCTTCTGACAAGAAATCTGATTTCTGTTATTTAATGTGCAGGCTCGGGTTAAACGGTACCTAATGGTGTCATCCCAGTGGAATTTCTTTCGGGGTCCTATGACACGTTTCCCTGGTTTCTCATCATCATCTTCCTCCGATCCATTTTTCTCTCGTTCTTCGTCTGTTTGTAACCTAAACACGAGAAACACTCCATGAGCAAAGCTGTAATCAACGTGATCCAAGGAGAGGTTCCGCACACTTTTGGAAACTTGCCTGCCCTGAATGCTGACTGAGGAACAGGGAAGGAGAAACTCTATCTTCCCATAAAATACTGTGAAGCATGTGCTGAAGGCATGGCAAATAAGATCGTAAACTATAACATGATGGCACGAACATAGTTCAGGAAATATTGTTTCAACTGGGGCCAGTCAAGTTGCTCCACGTGTGAAATACCGGTTTTGCCTTGATCACATCCGTGACCCTAATCAGCAGAGTTTGCTTCTGACGTCAGCGTAACCAGGAAGTGATCTGCTACTTAAAAAACACTCAATGGTGTCATGGTGGTGCTGTGTGTTGGGTTTTCCACACAGTAATGCAGCTCCCTTATGACCAATCCCCGACAGAAAATCTGGCTGGCCAGCCTACATAGTCGTGCGTTCACATCTTCGGGGCTGCCGCCCATGGCCTGTACAACCCTGGCAGATGCGCCGTCCGAGGCTGGCAGCCCCGCTGTTCGGCAGCACCGCGGCCAGAGGTGTGACGCCTGAGCAACTCGTGCACGAGCACTGCTCTGAGCCCCGGGAGCACCCAGGCCAGGGGCGAGCAGGAGGAAACCGAATGCCTAAGGCCTCCGGTCACGGCAGCAGCCACAGCAAAAGGGGGGCACGGGGGAACGATGACAAAGGCAGTGCAAACAGAAGAGGCACGCACTTGGCACACTTAGCCTGACTCCGGGCCTGGCAGTCCTCTTGGTACTTAAATAGCTGCTCGGGCATGACGTTGCTAACGGCCAGTTTCAGTTTCTGCAGAGGTTCTCGTAAACGATCATCCTGAGGGGGGAAAAAGACACAAAAGGCTCTTCCAGCAAACTACAACTCACTTCCTACGCAGACGCTCGAGAACGAAATTCTTCTCTCAGGTACAGATCCCACATTTGGAATAATAGTGCTTAAATCCAGACGTGTCCGCTACAGCAGCCTCGCACTTCAATACCTAATGAACTTGGGCTGAAGTGCTCTCGCTTTCACGCGGAGGTCTGGGTTCGACTGCTGATCTGCATGCTTCCCAGAGCACCCAGGCAGGCACACCCCCAAGCCCCCAAACAAGAATAACCAGAGTCCTTGGTTGGTCGGGGAGAGACCCGCCTTTTGCCTGCTGTCCTTGCACACACTGTGAGCTTTCTCCCCAGCCCACAGGGTAATGGATAACAGTGCTCCTTTTCTGGATAACAGTGCTCCTTTTCCGTTTGTAAACGCCCCATGTTTTGTGTACCACACTCTGGCAGTGCCCCTGGGACAAATGCCTGAAGCCCTGCCTGGACTATCTCTCCAGTCCAAAAATGTTCCCCGCCCCCTTTTTTTTTTGCCACACCCAGCTATGCTCAATGATCACTTCTGCGGGAGCATATGCAGTGTCAAGCATATGCAGTGCTGGGGACTGAACCCCAGGAGCCGCATGAAAGGAAGGCGAGTGCCTTCCTCCTCTCTGGCCAAATGTTCTGTGTTTACCCAATGTGACTCAGGCACTTCACCGACAGGGGCAATCGAAGACCGTCAGGTATCTGTCCTGCACTGCAGCACACACGCACACAGTATGGGCTGCCTCAACAGGATGCTGGCACACAGCTCTCCCTTCCATGGTTCCTAACTGTGACCGAAGCGGCAAACATCAATGCCAGGTCAAGGCCAAAAGGAAAACTCTCCCATTTGGGAGACTTTTATCTACTCAGATTCAGGGCAAGAAGGAAAGCAAGCAGGCTTGTATTTGACAGCTTTATTCAACCAACTGAGTATTTTATCTTGCAAATGACAAATATATGTATCATTAATTACACTACACTTTTATGACTATCTAACATTATTAGAAGATTTTGATTTTCTTTGTAGACACAAGTCCTTTTAAAATCTGATTTTAAAAAAAGTGTGCAAAAGAATGAACTCAGACCTCTTTCTAAGGCCAGGCACAAAAAAAAACAAATCAAAATGGACTAAAGACTGGCTACGGATCTGACTCCATGAGGGCAGGGAGGAAAACAGGCAACTCGCACCAGGGCACTGAAGCCAGAGGCATCTTCAAGAATGAAACAAACTGACCAGACAAGTGGAAGCAAAGATAAACAAATGGGACATTAAGAAACTGCTGCACCTCCAGGGAAACGATGACCAGAATACACAGACAGCCCACGGAGCAAGAAAAATCATTCTACCCAACACTCATCTGATAAGGGGTTAATATTCCAGATCTATAAGGCACCAGCAGAACTTTACAAGAAAAAGACATACAACCCCATCAAAAGCTGGGGAGAAGAGATGAACAGAAACTTCCTCCAAGAAATACAAATAGACAAAAGGCACATGAAAAAGTGCTCTATCAGGGAGATGCAAATCAAAATGAGAGATCACCTCATGCCACAGAGACTGACACATATCAGAAAGAACAACTAGTGCCGCCATGAATGTGGAGAGAAAGGGACTCTCACTGCTGGTGGGAATTCTGACTGATCCAGTCCATCTGAGAAACAATATGGACATTTCTCAAAAAACTAGAAATTGGACTTCCATATAATCTAGCAATACAGCTCCTAGAAATACACCCTAGGGCACCACGAACACAAAGCAGAAAAGCCACCTGCAGCTTGATGTTCACTGTGCACTATTCACAATAGCCAGAACCTGGAAACAACCCAAGTGCCCCCAAACCCAAGGTGAGTGGATAGAGAAACTATGGTACACCTATACAGTGAAATACTATGCAACTGCTAGGAAAAATAACATCATGAAATTTTCTTATACATGGACGGACATGGAGAGTATCGTGCTGAGTGAAATGAGTCAGAGGGAGAGGGGTAGGCACAGAATGATTGCATTCATTTGTGGGAGAAATACATACACACATACATGTATGCGTGTGTGACACACACACATAGTATGTGAAAATACCACAGACAGCAGAAATGAGGGAATAAAGGAAGGCAGGAGGATTTGTCTATGGTAGGAAGCTTGCCACAAAGTGGGAACGAGAGGGCAGTTAGTACAGAAAAAGAACCACTATGACGACGATAATTGAAATGACTATTCTGGACAAGAACTGAGTGCTAAAAAGTGGTGGAATGCATGATACCCTTCAGTAAAGGAGGGAAAGAAGGAGGAACGGGGGGGGGGGGGGGGGAGGGAGGAGAGACAGAGAGAGAGAGAGAGAGAGGTGTCTGCCATAGAGGCAGGCTGCAGGGGAGAGGTGGGAGGGAGGGGATACTAGAGACATTGGCATTGGCGGTGGAAAATGTACACTGGTGAAGGATGAGGGTGATGGAACATTGTATGACCAAAACTCAATCATGAACAACTTTGCAACTATGTATGTCATGGTGATTCAATTTTCAAAAAACGATCAAAAAATCTGAATGTTCTTCTTGATTTGGGGCAGAATCAGTAAACACAATCAGTTCCATGTTTACTCCTGGCTCTGCGCTCAGCATCACTCCTGGCAGGCTCAGGGATCATACACGGTGCTTTGACTGACTCTGGGTTGGCCACGTGCAAGGCACGTGCCTCATCTGCTGTACTATAGCTCCCGCCCTTAAAATGTGATTGTTGTTAAGGAAATAAATTCTCAGGGATGCAATATGCTACAGATACAGTTTACACATAATAACATTTTTATTAATAACATTTAATGTAGCAAAAAAAGCAAAACTACTACGAAGCACTTTACTCCATGCTTGTCAATAAATGTAATTTGCACATGACAAAGCCTGTTAAAATTTTTTTCCATTTAAAAAATGTGAGAAAACAAATAAATAAAAATTTAAAAATGTGAGGAGCCAGAGAGAGTGCACGGTTAAGCTGCTCCCTCGGGCCCTCACACAGAGGCCAGACACCCTGCCACACCCCACTCCCAGCAAATATCTAGTATCATGTGAGAGCATATTTTACTATGTGCTAAGACATATCCATCAATAGTAACCCTACATGCAGTTGTGGAAATGGAGTCTGACCCAAAGACAGAAAACTCAAGTAGTATGATGGAACAAAGCAAGCCGCAGAAGGAAAAGATAATATGACTCCACTGACATCAAAGCAAAACCCATGGGGCTGAACCATAGTACAGTGGGTAGGGCAGTACAGTGGGTAGGGCATTTGCCTTGCTGGCAGCTGAGCCGGGTTCAATCCTTGACATCCCATATGGTCTCAAGAGTCCACTCAGAGACTCTTCCCTGAAAGCAGAGCCAGGAACAAGCCCCGAGCACAGCCAGGTCTGGTCCAAAAACAAAAACCCGCCACCAAAATAAATAATCCTAAAAAAAATCCCAGGGTAGGAGAGATAGTACAGGAATTTAGGTGATTCGTTGCATCCCACTGACCCAGGTTAGACTCTTCACTCCACCAAGAGAGCCAGAAATGTGCCCTGAGCACCCCTGGCTGTGACCCAAAACCAAAACAATCCATCAACAAAAATCAATGATGAACAACAATTAGGGATATCAAAAAGTTATGTAAGGAAAGCAAGGGAAAGATAAATGTTTTCTGTTCCATAGGCATAAAGGATCTAAAATAACTTTTTTTTTTTTTTACTCTTTTTTGCTTTTTGGGTTATGCCCAGTGAGGCACAGGAATTACTCCTGGCTCTGCACTCAGGAGCTACCCCTGGTGGTGCTCACGGGGCCATACGGGATGCCGGGAATTGAACCTGGGGTTGGCCGCGTGCTAGGCAAATGCCCTACCCGCTGTGCTATTGCTCCAGCCCCTAAAATAACTCTCGACGTTAGACCTGAAATGTTTCTGTGGAATAACTTATAATTAATTCACAAAAAGGTATGTTCCTATTCTCATTCTCAGAGATCGGCATCCAGCTCTCCCCTGATTGGAATTATGCCCGGTTGGTTCAACTGTCACTGTCTGAAGAACTCAGCCAAGGCACGAGAGCTGAAACCTCAAGCAAACTTCCTTTGTTCTTTAACCTGCTTTGCTTTTAATAGAAAAAAACGAACAAACAAACAAAAAAACACTCCAGTTTCTCAGTCCACAAACTATTTTATTAAAGCGCATGGAGTCCACAGAAATCACGATTTCTTCGCTGCAGAGCAAGTTCACTTCAGTGGCCCAGGGCCACAGATATTACTCGTTCCCTCCAGGGCCGGCCTTGCTCTGTGAGACTCCCACCCACTGGCCAGAAAACACTAGGGTGACACAGGAGTATAATCGTATTTTCTCATGCAAGAATTTGGATTGGGGTGAGAAAGCCTAGTTAAGAGTATATGACATGCGGCCAGAGCGATAGTACAACGGTTAGGGCGCTTGCCTTGCACGTGGTCACCCCGGGTTCAATCCCCAGCTTCCCATATGGTCCTCTAAGCACCGCCAGGAGTAATACCTGAGTGCAGAGCCAGGAGTAACCCCTGAGCATCCCTTGGTGTGACCCAAAAAGAAAAAGAAAAAAAAGAGTGTATGACTTCTGTAACAGAAAACTAGAGAGGGGGATGGAGAGAGCACAGCAGGTGGGGCGCTTGATCTGCATCAATGAATATGGCCCGGAAACAAACAAACAGACAAAAACCTAGAGAAAAAGTAATCTTATTTGCAGATGAATATTAAAAAAATAAAAATGAGGAATGAGGAGAGAAGTGTGAAACAAATTACCAAGTCCAATTCTTTCACCGGCTACATTTTTGCCCTTATTTTCAAAAAATGCATGGATGTGTGTGTGGGGGGGGGGGGCGCGGAATTCTTTTATTAATGGTCATAAAGTTAAATAATATTCAAATTATTTTCTATTACTTGCAAGCTACAAATATTTTTGTTGTTATTTCATCACTGTTGCTCTGAGGGCCACAGGAGGCCGGAGATCAAACTCAGAGGCATGTACTCTGCCACGTGCCCCTTCCAATACACAAGCAAGTGAAGAGGCACCAACACAATCAAATTAACTAGAACACTGGTGCGTGAGTGATAGCACGATGAGTAAGGCGCTTGATCTGCATGTGGCCGACTGGGGTTCGGTCCTCAGCAGTCTCTAGAACACTGCCGGGTGTGATCCCTGAGCACTGTTGGGTGTGGTTTCCCAAGAAAAGCAAAACCAAAAAAATAAACAGACATGAACTAAAGGAGACATAAAAAATAAAAAAGCCACCAAGTGGCCAAGAGATGCTACATGTGAGTGAAAGCCAAGGCAGAACGAGAATAGACGGGATGGGGAGCACCGGGCTTCGTTCAACACAACGGAGCACCGTGCCCATGGCAAGGAAGAGAAGTTTCTGTCTGAGAAGAGTGTTCAGACTTACGAAATCACTCAGTGGGCAGGCAAAATGAAAGATCACACTAAGAATCTTTAGCTGGTTTTTATTTTGTGGCTTCACCCAGCAGTGCTCAGCCTTTTCCAGGCTCTGCTCTCAGACTCATGCCTGGTGGGTTTGGGGGACCATATGGGGTAGTGGGAATTGAATCCAGGCCGATCACATGAAAGGCAAGTGCCCTACCCACTGTACTATCCCTCTGATGTTATTTTTGAGGGGCTGGGTGTCTGGTTCCCCAAAACAAAAACCTCTTGTCTCATCACAGAGCATTTGCTTTATGTATCTGAAATGTCCTGGGTTTCATCCTCAGCACACAGTGTCTCCTTAGAAAACACCATTTCCTTTTTTCCTTTTTGGGCATCCCTGGCAATGCTCAGGGATTATTACTGGCTCTGTAGTCAGGAATCACTCCTGTCGGTGCTCAGGGGACATATGGGATGCGCCAGGGATTGATTGAGCCCGGTCAGTCACGTGCAAGGCAAACCTCCCTAGCTGCTGTAATATCACTCTGGCCCTGAAAACACCATTTACAATGACTGAAAATGTAGTTACTTTTCAAAGGCTTCCACGTACCTTTAAGAACTTGCTATGGTGATTCACCAGTCCAATGTAAATGGAAATATAAATACCTGTAAAGCAATTGCTACACAACAGCTTGGCAAACAGACGAGCTTTCTTACAGGCTGTGCAGTCCTGGCTGCGGACCGCGCGTCCCTCCGCTTACCTGGACATTGAGATGCAGCTTCTTCAGCCGCTTGACCAGTGTTTCCTTATTGCACGGCACGAAAGCTTCGAGGTGCGAGTAGACGCCACTCCGGGCGACAGGGCCCAGTGCCTGGAGCTGTAACTCAATGCTGCCAAACAACAATCAAAGTACAGAGAATTTAGGCAGCCTACAGGAGCAAGGAGGCAACCGTGACGAGGCTTTGCAGTTCCCCAGGATTTCCGAGCAGTGACTTGCAAGGGAGAAACACCACCAATAAAGCGCAGCCATAGGAAACTCCTAGAGAGTAGGAGGGCGAAGGGGCGACCAGTCTGGAACAATCTGCTGGGCTGACTGAGCTTGAGGGTTACCAGAGCCATCCCCGAAGGTGCTCAGGAAGCCACACGGGGCCCGGGAGCCAACTCAGGGCACGTGCTACAACACTGAGTCACCTGGGTACAGTACGCATTTTGTACACTGGGTGTGTTTTTTTTAAATAAAAAATATATTTCAATAGAATCACCAAATGAGAGTTATAAAAGTTGTTCATGATGGGATAGTGGGGTTTCAGTCACACAGTGTTCTAACACCTGCATATTTCCAGTGTGTATTTCCCGCCACCAATGTCCCCAGTTTCCTTCTGGTCCCCCTCATCCCTTGTAGCTCACCTCTCTGGCAGACACTTTCTTCTCTCTCTCTCTCTCTCTCTCTCCCTCTTCCTCTCTCTCTCTCTCTCTCTCTCTCTCTCTCTCTCTCTCTCTCTCTCTCTCCTTCTCTCTCTTCCCCTCTCCCCACTAATATATATATTCTTCTATGTTGTACATACTCTTATAAGCTAAAGGACATGTTAAGAAATCATAAGGAAAACTAAATACACTTACAGTCATTTTTGTTGTTGTCTTATCCAGCTCACAGCCAACCCAGGTTAGATCCCTGGCATCCCATATGGTCCCCCAAACCTCTCCAGGAGTGACCCCTAGCACAGAGCTAGGAATAAGCCATAAGCACTGCCAGGTGTGGCCCAAAAACAGATAAACAGAAACCGACCAAATAAAAAAGCGGAATGAAACCAAAACTTAGGAGTTATTCATGAGCTCCTCTGAAGAGCTCAGAAGTGGGCAGAGGGTCTGCAGAGTGTCCTGTAAGACAGGGAGCATCTGCCCCAAGTATTCCTTAAGAACTGTTGGCAGCCGGAGAGATAGCACAGGGAGAAAGGCACTTGCCTTGCACGCTGCCGACCGCCATTCAAACCCCAGCATGACATACGGTCCCCCAAGCCCAACAGTGATGCCTGAGCACATCAGGGTGCAGACCAAACCCACCCTCCCCTCCAAAAGGGAAAGATCTTTCAGGATGAAATGGAATCTTCGGACAAGAATGTCAAGACTGCTGGCTCTGCCACATAAACTCATTCCCTGCTCCACAGACTCATAAATAAGTCTCAAAAGAGATTTAAAAAAAGGGGGGGGAGGGCTGGAGCAATAGCACAGCGGGTAGGGCATTTGCCTTGCACGCGGCCGACCCGACCCGGGTTCGATTCCCAGCATCCCATATGGTCCCCTGAGTACCGCCAGGAGTAATTCCTGAGAGCAGAGCCAGGAGTAACCCTTGTACATTGCCGGGTGTGACCCAAAAAGCAAAAAAAAAAAAAAAAAAAGCGCAGTAAATCTTGGCCCCATGCATGACTGAATAATGTGAGGTACATCAGAGGGAAGAGGGTTAGCCCAGTGGCTGCCCAAATGGAGCCCCTGACAGCCACTTGTTCCCACAATCCAGAATCATCACTAGGTCCGTGGCCAACTCCCACTATCTTGAGATCTCACCGAGAAATTGACCTGCTGAAAATTCAGGTATGTGGGTGTTGTGACTGAAATCTCCAGGCTTTCTCAGAGTCGGGCAGGGCTACCTCCCCCAACTTCCCTGTACTTCTGGAAGCCCTGGCAGTCATATCCACACCCCAAAGCCACAACCCAGTTAAAAACAGCCACTCCAGCTATACCTTCCCGATAAAAATACTGAACGCCCTGAACAAACACAATGACTTCTAAGTACCTGTACTGCACACCGTAATGCACAAAAGAAAAGAGAAAGAAGAAAAGTGTCTGCCATAGATGCAGGCTGGGGTGGGGATGGGGGTGGGGGAGGTCAGGGGGTGGTGGGAGGGAAACTGGGAGCACTGGTGGTAGGAAATGTACTCTGGTGGAGGGACGGGTGCTGGAACATTGTATATTACTGAAACCCAATCACACACAGCTCTGTGAAGGTCTATCTCTTGGTGATTCAATTAAAAATATTAAGTTAAAAAGAAGGAAAGCTAAGACTGTGTCAGCAGAGCCTTGTTTGGAAACCCGAGGGAACGTGCACTGTGCTGGGTCTCCCATGACCCAGGGAAGCATGCGGAGGCAGAGTCACCGTGCCTGGTGGGCCTTCAGAAGGTCAACCCAGACTGGGAGTGTGCGGGGGTGGTAGAGGGTATTCAGGAAAGTGGAGAAAGGCAGCGGGCAAAAGGAAGTGTTAGTCACTAAGCCTTGTGAGCTGGAGGCACATTCTTTCATTTTGTTTTGATGTCACACCCAGCGATGCTCAGGGGTTACTCCTGGTTCTGCATTCACCAACTGATCCTGGCAGAGCTTGGGGGATCAGGGATATGGGATGCCAAGGACTGAACAAGGTCAGCTTCACTATTGCTTCACCCCCCCACAAGCACATTCTTTATGAGATAAAATGTAGGTAGGGGCTGGGAGACAGCAGAGCAGGTAGGGGGCACATTAGGGATGCACCTGACCTGTGACCCTTGTACTACATGGTCCCCAGCATGGCTGGGTGCAGCCCGGAGGCCCCAATAGTACACGGGTAGCCTGGGTATTCCTGATACCACAGGGCCGGGCAGCATCATATCCGCAGGCCCTTGGATTAAAGCACTGGCCCAGCTGGCCAAGAATAGCTGCCAGGGTCCCCAGACCTCCTGAGCACTGTCTGGTAGCTCCTAATCAACCCCAGGTGTGCCCTTCCCCCAATAAAACAGAAAAGGAAAGAAAACCAGATGGGCTCTAAAAATCTAGCATCTGAAAACAGAGCCAGGAGAAATGGACAGGGCAACCTGTTAGCAGGTGGCTGCTCTTCTGCTTGTCCAAGGCTGCCCCCAGAGGAAAACAGGTGTTCCCGACTACAAAAGGGTAAAATGAAAAAGGACTGTTCAGTTACAGGCCAGGCCGGGACCGAGTCAACTCCATGCTCTCAGGTGGAGAACAAAGCTGAGCCCATCAGATTCCTGCCTGGGGGACGTGGGACAGCTCTAATGAATAATGGGTCAGTGTCTGTCAGATCAGAGGTCTAAAAAAAAAAAAAGGAGTCACAGGAGGTGGCAGGGACAGGAAGCTCTCACGCCTTTTTTTGGAGCAGACTGAATCATGCTAATCACGCTAATCACTAAATTAATCATAAAACCAAGAATAGGAACAAGATCCCTGTCACCACACCAAGTAGCATGCTAAGTTATTTGCTTCAAGTCTGGGTGGAGGGTGGGGGTGGGGGGAACACACATTTTTAGGGTATTACAGAATGAAATTGAGATTAATTAAAAGAGTTCCGAGAACCAATAAACCAATGCATCCTTAAACTGGGTGAAAAACTCTCTGCTCCACAGTTAAAAGACGAAGCCCCAGGGCCCAGGGAGACAGCTCGGTGGGCTGCAATGCATGCCGGGACCATGGGAGGCCCCCCATTCAACCCCCAGCACCGCAAGGCCCCGGCGGGCTGTGCTATCTAGCGTGGCAGGGAACTTCTGGCATGCCACACAGCACCACAAAAAGAGGAGCGATCCCCGGCAAGCACTGCAACCCAAAGCCCCTGAAGTGTGAGCACAACCGCACCGTGCACCACCTCCTAGAGGGAACTCCAGGGGAGCCGCAACAGCAACACAGCTAAAGCAGTGCAGAGAGCACTGGGGGGCGAGCTGGCCACAGGGGAGTGTTGCCCACTGGAAACGGGAGACCCCGGTCATCACAGCTATGTCAGCGACAGTGAAGGAAAAGGGGGGCTCGGGAAGAAGGGGGAAGCCTGAGAAGCTGCCCGTTTGTTCTGTTTTCGTGGACTGCATGCAGCAGGGGGGCAGAGAGCAAGGGGTGCCCGCGACACCCAGGGCTGGCCAGGACTCCAGGACGCAGAAGCCCGTGCCCCAGCCCTTCCACTGCTTTGTATTTGATGCCACTGAACCGCCAGGGCACAGCACATACCAATTCTCATCAGAGAGCAATAGAATTTGCCACATTCTCACGCCGAGATCTGCTTAGGGCCAATGCTACACTCCATCTCTCCCAAGGGGCAAACAAGGCCAGGTGCAGAAGCAGCACTGATCTGACCACAGTCCCAGACCCTGTCGCCTCACCCGGGCCCAACTGAATGAGGAAAACTGACAACTCAACTGTGACCCTAGCCATCCTGTCTCCTTGCTCCCCAATCTAACACCTGCCTTCTCCACACTGGCCCTCAACTGGCTTCTTGTTGCCGCCTGTTTGAGCAACATCTGATGCAAAAAGTATGATTAATCTCATTAGCGGTCAATGGAACTATTTTCCCCAAATAGATGGAATGAAGAAGATGAAGAATGTGGGGCTAGACTGGTAGCACAGTGGGTAGGGCGCTTGCCTTGCACGCAGCTGACCTGGGTTCGGTGCCCAGCATTTCATATGGTCCCCCGAGCACCGTCAGGAGTAATTCCTGAGTGCAGAGCCAGAAGTAACCCCTGTGCATCACCGGGTGTGACCCAAAAACCGAAAAAAAAAAAAAATGAAGAATGATATGAAATGTAATATATACATTCAGAGCTAGGGATCCCAGAGAAGTATTTTCATATAAGGTGCCCCCTGACTCCAACTGACGGTACTATTTAGCCCGTAAAGGGTCCCTTGCTTTGACTGCGACAACAGCAGAGCCTCCACATGGCGTAAAGAATCTGACAGCAGCGGGCAGGGCAGAGCCAAGTTCCGCTGAGAAACAAATGTGCATCAGATGAAGCGAGAAGGGAAAGCCTACTGCACGAGACTGATCAGCCCCGCTGAGATGCCAAAGGGAATCCTGAAGGTTCTAAGACTTGTTAGGGTTTCTGAATCGAAGAAGAAAGAAATTACTTACTCCAGAAGAATATTATTCATATCCTGTGTAAAGAACTTTTTCCTTCCTTCTTCATCAAAATGTTTGGCAGCCTAGACAAAGAGAAGACGGTCAGTGCAACACTTCAAAACCACGGGATCTGTCTGCACATCTCTTCCCACAGAATGCGGGAGCCGCTCACTGATGGGGCGGGCGGCTTGTGTACTCTTACCCGCCAGAGTAGGACCTAATGCAACGAGCGCGCTGGAACAAAACAGAGCAAAACGTTCTTCCTCCTGCATTTGTGTCCGCATTTAAGTTCTCAATCTTCTGAAATTTAGAAAACTGCACATAAAAGGCTTGTTGGGGCTTTGGGCGTGTTCTGTGTTTCGTGTGTTATTTCTTAATCCTTGCTATGAGCGCCGAGAGAAGGCAGATGGCTCATTTCCTACGGACATGATGGTATACAACATGCCTGGTATTCTGTACTGGGTCCCTCATAAACCGTATTTCGACCTTCCTGACAGCCAACATTGTTGGTACTGTGGCCACTTCACAAATAAGGCGCCGACCTCAATCTTACAATGCGTTCCCAAATCAGACGAATGGGAAGGTTGGGGCAGGGATTCTGGCGCACTTTCTCACTTCCTCTGGTTAGCACTGCCACATCAAACCTTCATTACGTCTGTCACCTTAACCAGCAAACACAAACGTGTATACAAGCCCCAGACGCTGTGCCATAAACAAAGCACAAAAAGTAAACTTTGGGAGTGGTAAAAACACAAAAAGTAATCTTTTGGGGGGGATGGGGTAGGGATGGGGATGGGACACACATCAGGCAGTGCTTAGGGAACCAAGGACTAGGACCATATGGGATGCCAGGGATCGAACACGCTTTTGCTGCATGTAAGGCAAGCACCCTACCTGCTGTACTATCGCTCTGGTCCCACAGAAAAGTAAATTTATTTTGAGGAGCTATGTACAGTGGGTAGGGCAACTGCCTTGCACACAGCCAACCCTAGTTTGATCCCCCACATCCCACATGGTCTCCTGAGCCCTGCCAGGAGTAATTTCCAAGTGCTGAGCCAGAGTAAACCCTGAGTATTGCCAGGTATGGCCCCCCAAAACCTAACAAAAAAAAACAGGTTAGAAAACTCGCATTTATCAAGTGATAAATGAAGAGAGAGAGAGAGAGAGAGAGAGAGAGAGAGTGTGTGTGTGTGTTGTGTGTGTTTCACAAGGGATCAGAACCAGATAGTCACACAATGTGAGGCCCTTAGCTTACCATGGAGCCCCAGCTATGAAACAAATCTTATGGATACTTTGCTACCAAGGTGCCAGAGTAGGAAGCAGCTCTGGGAACCTTTGCATGGCTGTGACAGGCACAAAAGAGAGACGACAGGGCTTTACAGGACCGAAACACTAAGTGATTCTGTGGCGAGAGGAGAATGAGAAGCTCAGCACACCACAGCCCACACATGGACTCTGGAGCTCGGTGGCCCTGTCTGCTCACGAAGTAACGTGGTCGAGTTCACTTGACCTTTCAACCTGCGTCCATGACAGCGGAGGGTCAGGTGACACGGCGCAGGGAGTGTACTACACCCACGGCTCAGAACGGAGCACATGCTGAGCACGCAGGAGCCCCCGCCCCGAGCGCCCTCCCCCAACTTGCTAACGGTGCCTTGCCAGGTTGTGAGACGGCAGATCAGTACTCCACACACAGTAAAGGTGTCAAATGAATGATGCCTTCCCAATTACACCATGGAAATCAGGATCACCACCACAGGGGGAGGTTACCACTTGGGATTTTTAAATTTTGGTTTGGGAGCCACACCTGGTAATGGTCAAACCTTACGACTGGCTCTGTGCTCAGGAATCACTCCTGGCAGGGCTCAGAGAACCATATGGGGTGCCGGGAATCAAACCCAGAGCAGCCGTGCGCAAAACAAGTGCCTGGCCCGCTATACTATCCCTCCAGCCCTGCTCACTAGCACTTGTGGAAGAAAGGGCCGGAGCAAACACCGCAGGCAGGGCGCTTGCCTACACGTGGTCATCCCTGGTTCAACCCCCAATGCCGAGGATGGCCCCCAGCTCGCCAGCAGGGATCCCTGAGCAGAGAGCCAGGAATAAGTCCTGAGCATGGCTGAGTGTGGACTCAAATCAGTCCTCAACCAGAAATAAGCAAAAAATGAAACAAAAACTTAGGGGAAAACAGATTTTAGATGAACACAGGATGGCAAAAAGCACCTACTCTGGAGTGAGGAGAGTTTCTGTGTTAGTTTTGGTTCTACGCCCTCCTGACTATGTGGTCCTGTCTAAGCTATTGCCTACTTCCACTGAAGCCCTTAACCGTATGAAGGGAACAGTACCAACCTTCACCAAGAGTGGCCAAAATTACTCAATAAATTAACTATTCAACAAGCTAGAGAATATTTTTAAAATTGGCATACGAAAAAGAAAAAAAAGAAGAAGAAGAAGAAGAACGAGCACAATACAAGACAGAGAGCAATAAAACAATTATACAAGAAAGCGGCAATAAAGATCAGTCATCTCCCTGGACCAACTGTAGGTAAGATAAAATCACTGGCTGAAATGGTCTCTGGAGGTCAGCAAGCCAATTTCCATTTCTGTGCTCTCTACTAGAGAATGAGCTCAAGTAAACTCAAGAAATGGAAGGTAAATGATGGGAAAAAGCTGTACCCAGCAAAAGAGGAAGACAATGAAGTCTTTAGTAAAATTAGACAAAACTGAATTTAAGGTAAAAAGCATTAGTAAGAGAAAAATTACGTCACCTTCAAATGGCTGCATCTCCATGATGAGGACCGGGCATGCCCGAGCCTGGTTCCCAACTGTGGGGGGCACCGCAGGCGTGATGCCACCCTCCTAGGCCTCCATCCCCCAAAAACACTGAACGGAAAGTCTCATGAATTAGGCCTGAGTCCAGGCGCAAGGGGCCGAGCACGGGCCGGCACGCAGAGGCCCTGGGCCGGCCGACTGCCTGGAAACCCCCAGTTCTCCCCAAGCACTGCGGGGAGACCCGGGGCGGGGACAGACAGCACAACAGGCTTCAAGCAGCAGCTGTCAAGAGGTTCGCAGGGAGTGGACCCAGGGTCCCCTGAGTGCTGCTTGGCAGAAACCCTATCCGTCCACCACACACTCACACACACAAAAAACAAAAAACAGCACCTCTAATGAGTTAAAAATTGCATTTAAAAAAAAGCTGAAAGAATGCTAAGTACCAGTTACAAGCTAAGAAACAATGACATCAGATGCTTTGGGGGGAGGGGTGGATGGTGGGATGGGGGCTTGGGGAGGGTGGACCACACCTGGCCATGCTCAGGGTTACTCCTGGCTGTGCAGTCAGGATCTATCTACTCCCGGCGGTGCTTGTACAAGGCAAGTGCCCTACCGACTGTACAATCTCTCCAGCCCCTGACATGAAGCGCTTTATCCACTTCTCTAAGTCCTGGACTTGTGGTGACTAGAAAAATAAGTGAAAGTTAACATCATGACCTTAGAAGAAATGTCAAGAAACAAAAAGAGAAGAACAAAAAGCAAACAACTGATTAAAAAAAAAAGAGTCCACGAGTCTTTTCAAAAAGACTTGTTACAAAAGTCAAGAAAGCTCTTGGAGCCCTGATCAAATACTTCAAAGTCAGTAACTGTTGAGGACCTAAGACAGAGACAGAGATAACTGTAAGTCTGGAAATGTGATCCCATCACTCTATCCCAGGAGAAAGAAGGAAGTTGTAGAACAGTATCCTCACCCCTGATGATTCTGTTTATGATTATTTTTATAAATAACAAAATATTCAGAAACAATTAAGACTAAAATCCCTAAGAGAGCAGAGGCGACAGCATAGTGGGGAGGGCGCGTGCCTTGCACATGACCGACCTGGCTCTGATGCCCGGCATCCCAGAGGGTCCCCTGGGCACTACCAGGAGTGATTCCTGAACGTGAAGCCAGGAGTATCCTCTGAGCATCGCCAGATGTGGTCTAAAAACAAGGGGCTGGAGTGATAGCACAGCAGGTAGGGCGTTTGCCTTGTATGCGGCCGACCCGGGTTCGATTCCCAGGATCCCATATGGTCCCCGAGTACCGCCAGGAGTAATTCCTGAGTGCAGAGCCAGGAGTAAGCCATGAGCATCACCAGGTGTGACCCCAAAAGCAAAAAATACACAAAAACAAAAACAAAAAAATCCAAAACAATGAACAGCCTAATACTGGCTATGTCTGTGAAAGAGAGTTTTCTCTAAGTATGAAATACCTCTTGTGCTGCCTTTACTGCTCCTGTAGTAAAGAAGGGGGGAAAAGATTTTTAAAATAAGGCACATGTTCCCACATGCTAAAATAATGGGACAGAGCATTTGAGGCTGGTTTGGCACACGTGAAATAAACGATCCTCCTGAGGTCCAAGGCAGCGGCACAGTGATGTAGCTGGGTCCGTTGCGAGCAAAGCAAAGGCAGGCTATGAATCAGGCCGTGCCATGATGCCCCACTCAGACGCCAGCTCGAGCCAGACCTTCGTCGCGGAGTACCACGCATGCCTCAGGAGGCCGCTGGGCCGCAGCACTGAGAATTCATCGTCAAAGAACCCGATGCCAACATCAAGTGCACTGCGGAAATGGGACTGCTTGTTCTGGCCACCCCTCTAATTTCTTTACATAAACAGACAATAAAAAATTATATCCACAAAACCGCAGAAAGGAAAACCTTTACACGGTGAGATAAAATAGTGGTACCCATGCAGTAACTATGTGACACATATTAAAAAGAAAAAAGGCTATTTATAAAGCCAATGGCTGGAAAAAAAAGAAACAGAAAATCATTGTTTATAAGGGTAGTGGAAGGTAGGGGAGATTATTAATTCTGCCCCTTTAAAAATACCTTTGTGCAGCCAAGAAAATAAAAAGGGTTGGTGGGGAAGGGGCGGGTGGAGCAATAGTACAGCAAAGAGGGCATTTGCCTTGCACGCGGCCAACCAAGGTTTGGTCCCCAGCATCCCATATGGTCCCCTGAGCACCATCAGCAGTGATTCCTGAGTGCAGAGCCTGGAGTAACCCCTGTGCATTGCCAGGTGTGATCCGAAGAGCCAAAAGAAAAAAAGAAGGAAAAGGAAAAGGGAAAGAGAAAGAAAAGGCTAAAGAAGAGGGCTGGAGAAATGGGACAGCGGGTAGGGTGCCTGCCTTGCACGTGACTCTGGGTCCCCGCATCCCATATGGACGCTGAGCACCTGCAGTGCAGAGCCAGGAGGAACCCCTGAGCATTGCTGATGTGGCCCAAACACACACAAAAAAGAGGGATCACACTTACTACACGGAGGTCTTCGATCCGCTTCTCCAGAAGGACAGGCAGACCCTCTGGGAGAGTAGGTATCACCTTGGGCAGACCCTGAGAGGCGAAGTTCGGCTGGGTGGCGTTTCCGTTCTCGCCCCCCGACTCCGAGAGGGGGCTAGCGTCGGAAGCAGCATCCAGCAGTCGGTCAAAGTCAAAGTCATCCAGCATCTCCAGGGCATTCTCCGCATCCTGAAAGAGCTCGTGCTCATTTGTGCTGACGAAGATGGGGAGGTCCGGGTCGGCACTGCTCAGGTTCAGGTCCGAGACGTCGTTGCCCAGCGCTGCAGCAGTGGACGGGGGCTTGTTCAGAGAGGACGTGGGCAAGCTAGCGGACACTTTGGGGCTTGGCTCCTTCCTTAGAGCGTCCTTCTCTTTCTGGAACTTTCGTATCATGGCAGCGAGAGAAAGAGAATCTTTATAGCGTTTCTTCTTCTTTTCAGACTTGTGTGAATTTAGGGCCACGACTCTGTGAAGGAAAAAAGTAGTCAGTGAAGTTAAGTCTGACTGTAAAGGCTCGAGTTCCATGTGAAGCACAGGCCCCGAGAGAAGCACTCGACTGGGAAGAGAGCAAATGTCTTCGCACCAGCAGCTACGCCAACTGGGCTGTCGGGGAGGACAGGGCCAATTGGTAGACAAGAAGAAAGTCACAGAAAGAGAAAACTGAACGTAGCTAATGCAGTAGGGGAGCATGAAGGGCTGGGGGATGAAACTTGGAGTTCTGTGCTGGTGAGACATGCACTCCTGGCCCCTGAGCTATGTCCTAGGCTCCTCGGAATACTTTCTCTCCTTTCTCTTCCTTTTTTGGGGGTGGGGGAGATGGGGGGGCCATATCCAGCTCAGGGTTTAGTCTTGGTGGTGCTTAGGAGATCATATGGGACGCCACGGGGGATAAGAGGAGAACTGACCCACTTACCCTCTGTACTGTATTTCCAGCCCCATCTCTCAATAATTTTACACACACACACACACACACACACACACACACACACACACACACACATATTCTGGTCCTTCTCTTTTAAATTCTTTTACAGTGGTGCCCGGCAGTGTGGGTTAGTCCTGGCTCTGTGCTCAGGGAAGCCTGCGCGGTGGCAATAATCAAACCAGGGCAAGTCACACACAACGGAAGTGTCTTTAATCCTGACTGTCTCCAGTTCCATTTGGTTTTTAGGGCAGTATCATTACCTAAAACCACAAGCATTGGGTCAGCCCAACATGGGGCTGGGGAGACAGAACAGGGGTCAGGGGCCCACTCTGCGAACCCATACCATGTGGTCCCCCATCCTAGCACCTCTGGGCATGGACAGCGCAGGGCCACACCACAAGGCCAGGACCACAGCTGGCTGGTCCACTGAGCTGAAGCACTAGGAGTGGCCGCCCCCGAGTATTGCTATGGAGGTTGCCCCCTCGCCTCCCCATTCCTACCCCCAAATAACCCAGTTAAACATCGGTGACCTAGAGGCCAGAGAAGCTCAGTATCCAGGGGTATATGCTTTGTATGCAGAGACGCAAGTTCCGTCTGTGGCACCCACGGCCCCCTATGCATATGGGCATTACTGGGAATGGCCCCCAGGCCCCCTGAGTGCTGCTAGGGAGGCCTCAAAAAAACCCCAGAAACAAAAAGGACTTTTTTTGCCGGGGGTGGGGGGAAGGGGCAAAAAGGCTCCAGTGGAACACAGGCTTTACTCTGGGAAAGTCTTTGGGGACCACACAGGATGCTGGGAGTCAAACCCGGGTCAGCCTTGTGCAAGAGAAGCACCCTACAATGACCCCATGGTGAGATTTAACAATGTTCACAAGTTTTCTTTTCTTTTTTTTTTTCTTTTTGGGTCACACCCAAATGCACAGGGGTTCCTCCTGGCTCAGCGCTCAGGAACTACCCCTGGCGGTGCTCAGGGGATCATATGGGATGCTGGGAATCGAACCTGGGTTCGCTGCGTGCAAGGCAAACACCCTACCTGCTGTGCTATTGCTCCAGCCCCCACAAGTTTTCTTTTACTCTGGCCCCCAAATGACTTTTTTATACAGTAACAACCAGTCATTCACACATTAGAGCGTGCTGACAATTCCCATTTCCATGAATTGGGAATTTAATTTAAAGATTCACTGTCACTGTCCTCCCGTTGTTCATCGATTTGCTCGAGCGGGCCCAGTAATGTCTCCATTGGAGACTTTGTTGTTACTGTGTTTGGCATATCGAATACGTCACGGGGAGCTTGCCAGGCTCTGCCGTGCGGGTGAGATATTCTCGGTATCTTGCCGGGCTCTCCGAGAGGGGCGGAGGACTCGAACTCGGGTCGGCCATGTTGGCTGTGTGCAAGGCAAAGGCCCTACCGCTGTGCTATCGCTCCAGCCCAATTTAAAGATTAGCCAGAAAAAAAAATGTATCTGTCAAGGCTGAAAACTCCAGGACCTCCTTGGAATGGGGGCAGGCAGGACCCCCATTCCACCCTCTGCACTTCCAGAAGCCCTGGCAGCCCCGCAGCAACACCCATCAATCACTTCTCCCTTTTTTGGAGACCTGGAGTGACACCTCCAATTTCCACAACACTGGCAGCCCTGCAGGAGCACGCAAATTAGATGGGAGTGTAGCATAGAAGCCAAATCTGCTCAGTGAACAAAAACAATAACACAGAGGGTTCAAGGAAGAAGAAATAGCTCAGTAAACCCTCCAACAATGACCCCATGGTGAGATTTAACAATGTTCACAAGTTTTCTTTTCTTTTTTTTTTCTTTTTGGGTCACACCCAAATGCACAGGGGTTCCTCCTGGCTCAGCGCTCAGGAACTACCCCTGGCGGTGCTCAGGGGACCATATGGGATGCTGGGAATCGAACCTGGGTTCGCTGCGTGCAAGGCAAACGCCCTACCTGCTGTGCTATCTCTCCAGCCCCCACAAGTTTTCTTTTACTGATGAATTTTTTTTTTGATAATTCCATTAGCCATTTAGTTGTAACAAGCAATATTTACGTAAAAAACAAACAAACAAAAATAATGTGTGCCTGTTAAGGGGGCAGACCTGAGAGGTAGGTGGAAAACTGGGGACAATGGTGGAGGGAAAGTCGTATTGGTGGTGGGACTGGTGCTGGGACACAGAACACCTCAAATAACTGTACTATCAACGACTTTGTAAACTCCGGTGTCACTGTGCCCCTACTGTCAACAACTTTGTATACCAGTGCTTAAAGTTAAACTTTTTTTAAGAAAGCTGCAACAGAAAGAAGATCAGGGACGAGAGACAGTCGTTTCAGTGCTCGCCTCCCGGCACCCACCCCCAGTTGGATCCCCAGGACCACACCTGGTGCCCTAAGAGCTGCCAGGAGTTTGTCACCCCAAGTAATTCTGAGTGTGGGCCATTCCACCACACCACACTAAAAACTTGAACATGAAGAAAAATAAACAAAACCTTGAGTATAGGGCCAGTGAGGGAGTTCTAAGAGCACAGTGATACTTCACATGTGGGGGGCTGGGGCTGAGTCCCGTTACTGCATGGTCCCTTAGGTACCCCCAGGACCAACTCCCAAGCAGAGTCAGTGGCAGCCCAGGAGTGCCACCAGGTGTGATCCACCCCCTGTGCCCCCAACAACCCAAAAAACTGATAAGAACAATTTGTCTAATATTTATGTATTATTTTCAAAATGGTTCTTGTGCATACAATGTTGTGATGCATGACAGATAATAATAATAATATAATGAATAGATAAGCAGTTTGAAAATCTGATCAAAAATGCCGAAAATGAATCTCTAAGATGAGTCTTCTTTTTTTTTTTGCTTTTTTGGGTCACACCCGACAAAGCACAGGGGTTGCTCCTGGCTTTGCACTCAGGAATTACTCCTGGCAGTGCTCACGGGACCATATGGGATGCTGGAAATCGAACCCGGCTCGGCTATCTCTCCAGTCCCTAAGATGAGTCTTCTACTTAATAATTAAGCCTAAATGTATACGCTCAATAAATATACCATCATTGATAAATGCTATAATGTTGATATGTACATCATCAACAAAGTTAAATGGTATTTATACAGCACTGAACCAGAAGAGCTGAAGCCGTGTCAATCACACCTTTCTAAATGAGAGCTAGTCCCGCTGCCATACCCGGTATGGTATGGTATGGCATACTCTCTTACAACGGCTCATTTTACATACCCCAATTGCTTGGAAACTTTTTTTCTTGGCTTCTTCTCTTTTTCCCCTTCCTCTTTCCGCTTCCGCTTCTTCATCTCAATATCATCTTCTTTTATTTTGGGAATCTGTAAATGACAGAAGACTGCGTCACCTCTTATGCCAGTGGACGAGGAGACAGCGCCAAGGGATGCAGTGTGTGATTATGCAAATGGGGCCCTGGGTTCGATGAAGGGGAGCAAGTCGGCCGCCAAGTACTACTGGGTAGAAGCTTCACGAAAAACAAAGCTCAAACCAAAAGTGAATGCATCATTTATCTGCATATTAAAGTAGCAAACTCTGGGTTTTGGTCTGAGAGCCAAAGCTGGTGGTGCTCAGGAGCAAACACTCCTGATTCAGTGCTCCAGAGACTATGTAATTCCAGGGACGTAAGCCCAGGTCTCAGGGAGGCAAAACATGCCTTCCCACTCCCCCACCCCCACCATGGCCAGTATCAACACTTTGACATCATCAACTCAGTATCCAGGAGAGTGGCTTTGCTCACACCCGGGCGTGTAGCAGCACTGGTCATTAAAATTCAGATTCTTGGTCTACAGATACAGCTCAGCAGTGGAACTGGTTTTGCATGTGTGAGGACTTGGGTTCAATCCCTGGCACAACAATTAAACAACAACAAAATGGTATTTTTATTTTGTTTTTTTATTATTATTATTTTTTGCTTTTTGGGTCACACCCGGCGATGCTCAGGGGTTACTCCTGGCTCATGCACTCAGGAATTGCTCCTGGTGGTGCTCAGGGGACCATATGGGGTGCTGGGTATCGAACCTGTGTCGGTCATGTTGGCTGCGTGCAAGGCAAACGCCCTACCCGCTGTGCTATCGCTCCAGCCCCCAAAATGGTATTTTTAAATTTCAGAATTAAAAAAGAAAAAAACACTTTTTAGAGACATGTCTTCATTTACATTATTGACATGTAAAATTTAATTAAAATGGAACAAATGGAACCCCGAAGGTCTCTGGGGATGGCCCCCTAGGGCCACAGAGCATGGCCCCAAACCCCAACCCTCGATGCCTTATGCCCAAAAGAATCATCCATCCATCCACAAGACAGGTTTTTTTCTTTTGATTCTGTTTTCTATTGTTTTCCTAGGGCGCTGGGGAGCTAAACCAGGGTCTCAGAAATTCGAGGCATGTGCTCTACCACTGGGCCACACCCCCCATCCCTTCTTCCCATGGTTCTGACTGGCAAAGCAGTCTTCATACAGCTTTATTTTAAAGCGTGTAACCAACTAGACACTCATTCAGCTGTAGCCAGCACTTGGATTTTCCTGGCAGTCACAGCGGTGGCACAAGTTAAATAAACAGAAGTCCTGCTGATGAGACAATCTCACTGCACTGCTGGGGAAACTCACTTTGGGTGGTTTGTGCTTTTGGTTGTCTGTAATATCATCTTCTTCGGTGTCAGAAGCTTGGCGGAACTGCAGAGTACCAGTGTTGACATAAAAGCCTCCATATTTTGTTGTTAGAGAAGCAGGAACTAATTCGTCATACTAGATTTAAGAAAAAGGTTTCAGATATTTCCTACTGTCTTCAATTAAATAAAAATGTCAAAAGAAATTCAATTATCATGGTAGCATCTTCCTTAAATACTAACAGCAAGACTGATTGCAATGAGGATGTCTGCGAAATAAATTTAGTAAAAGCTATTATCTGGAATAAAAATGAGCTCTATCCATTCAGTATTAAGAAAGGAACTTCTGAAATAATGAAACATTCTAAATATGTATCTGTTGAGAAAAATTTAATATTGATGTTAGTATTAAAATTCCTGATGACAAATGATTCTGACTAGAACTGAAAGAAGTTAAAAGCAGATGATTAAATGTCCAAACATTAAGTTCCTATCATGCCAGAGTATAATTTTATTCTTAAAATGATTATAAAGAATAACAGTTATTTCTTCTGCTTTAGTGCTACACTCTTGAGTGGGAAAAATCATTGAAACATTAAAAAAAAAGCATAAGTGCTTTAAAAGGAAGCAGAAACTTAGTTGTGCAATTCACTAGGCACGTTAAGGCCTAAAACAAGCTAGATATTTCAGTTGGTGAAAGGGGCTCAAACCGTCTACATCAGACAAAAGTGTGATATAAAAGCTGATGTCATCTAAAACCTGGATTTTAAGATGTTATCATGATCTCACCTGATGAGGATGGCGAACAGTCAAATTAAACAAAGGTCAATCTTACCCAGAGGAAGGCAGTCAGAGTGAGAGGAAAGAGGAACTACTTGTCCAAGGCAAGCAAACGATCTGGGTATCCTGTGGCCCCCAGAACTCTATTTACAGGCTCTTCATACTATACAACAGTCTTTGAGAAAGTAAGATTTTTAAGAAAAAGCCTTGGCTATGTGCAAGGAATATATGACTTCCTATAGCAGTTCCTATATAACATTCCAGTGTTAAGGCAAAATAATTAAAATCGTACAAAAGATCTGACTGTCACCTATATTCTTTTAACTTACATAGAGAATGAAAAAGGAATGCCTGTTTAAAATATACTGAGGGGCTGGAGCGATAGTGCAGCGGGTAGGGTGTTTGCCTAACAGGCAGCCGGCCCGGGTGCAATCCCCGACACTCCATATGGTTCTCCCAAGCACTGCCAGGAGTTATTCATGAGTGCAGAGCCAGGAGTAACCCCTGTGCATCGCTGGGTGTGACCCAAAAGGGAAAAATAATAATAATAATAGATAATAATAATAATAAAATATACTGAATTTAAAAAAATGAAATGAGAAAGAACAAAGAACCAGGAAATGTCCTGTCTGGATCCAGCTGGTGTGCTCCTGTGCAGCCCCCAGGGCAGACACTGCGAGTGGCCCAGAATTCTACAAGCAAAGGGGTGACATGAGGAGCCAAAGGCAAACGTCAAAGTGCCTCAATCCAATTTTTTGGAAAGGTTAAATTTTTTCTTACTTATACTTGTCGTCTAATGTGTCGATGCTGCTCCACTGCCGTGCCCCGCTGGGTGCCCCTGACACCCTGGTGAGGCACACAAAGTGATTTTGATTTTAAAAGTTAAAAAAAAATAAAGGATTCAGAATTCAGAGAGGACAACTGCCTGGCCAGGACCTTGTGGCGTGACTTTCTGAGTTTACGGCAGAGTCCTTGGCTGAGCCCAAGCAGGGACACTGGGGATGAGCCCCCTCACTGCTGAGCTATGCCTGGCAGCGCCGCCTGAAGGAGTGGAAACCGGCGTGCACACTCAGCGGGGCCCTTCAAGCAGGATGCGTGAAGGGAGCACTGGACTTGAGGATCAGAAGTCTCTGGCCCATGACTAGGTACTGTGACCCAGAACAAATCACTTACTCTCAATAGGCCTGCGGGTCGGGAGACAGAGCACTGCATCACTCAGAGTGACATCTAAGACAGACACCCTGAAACAAATGGTTGTCACACCTGCCTGGTATTTTTATTTATTAGTAATAAAGAAAAGCATTTTCTTTCAGTCGTCTTAAAATCTGGCAGCATAAATGTGAGACTAAATATAATCTTCAAAAGCATTTATTTTCAGATATTTATAGTAAATAGTACACAACTCTGAAAGTTAATCAGAACCAGATTTTCACTCTGCCAAAAAAATATACAAATAGCAAAAATGTGGTTGCAATACAATCAGTGAAAAGAACAGAGAATCATTTGGTTAGATCATAACTGTCTAAATCATCTCATTAAAAAAACCAAATGATGTGTTAAGGACAACAGATACAGAAGTCAATAACCTATATTTCAGTTCAATTTCTTCTAATGAAACAAAAACCTACACTGTTCTATAAATATCAGTAATTAATTGTATATACTTCAGAAAACAAAATTCATCCTTATTAAAGCAGTGACTTTCAAATTCTGTTCACCTACAGTCCAAGTGGTAAATACATAAGTCAAAATTCATTGGTCACACATAAACAACATACAACAAAAGGAATCACCAATTTCATAATTTACCAGTGATTTACTATGCAAACTCTAATCCAGTCTCTGCTTTAAAAGTGCCAGCCACACTCTCTACATGTATAAGTATTCCAAATATGGGTCACAAAAAATCAGCTTAAGAAATGCCTCATTGAAAGATTCTGTATTCTATGAAAGAAGATATCTCAAATGCTACTCATGAAAGAGTACATACTGCATGACTCCAATTATATGCCATCTGGGAAAAAGGAAACTCTGGAACAGTCAAAAGCGACGGTGTGTTAGGGAGAGGGAAACTGGCAGAGCCCAAGTTTTTTTCCTGGGGCAGTGCAGCGGCTCCGTGTAAGGCTGCAACAGTGAGCAGACGCCAGCCTTCGTCTTTCCAAACCCACACTCCCTAGACCAAGCGTGACCTCCAGCACAAGTCAGGCACGGGGTGACGATGAGGCAGGCAGACCCCTGCGCTGCAGATCACGGGGCGCATGGTGAGGATTCAGGCAGTGGGCAGGCCGTGCATCGAGTGGGGCAGGGGGCATATCGGGACTATCCTTACCTCCTGCTAAAACTCACTATTACAAGTCTAAAGCTGATCTTGGGCTGGGAAGACAGGACAGCAGGGAAGGCACTTACGCCTTGCACACGGCTGACCCGGATTCGGTTCCTGGCACCACATACGGCCTCTCAGGCCCTGCCAGGAGCAATCCTGAGTGTAGAGCCAGAGGTAAGCCCTGAGCACTGCTGGGATGCAGCCCCAAAACAAACAAATAATCAAGTTAAACTTCTCTTAAAAAAAAAATTACTAAAAAAAAAAATAAGATTAATAATTTTAACATGTGACTTAAATATGAACATGTATATGTGTACGTATGTGTATACATACATGTATAAATATCTGTTTAACACTAGCTGAATTCCTTCTTGGGTTATATAGAATTAAAAATCGACTTTATCACTTGTCCTAATGCCTTATGCTTGCCTTCTGCTTTTCAGGTTATTATCATCCTTGAGTAGTTCCATGAGCCAGCCAACCTAAGTGGAGACAACAGGGTAGTACCGAAAGACTGCTCCAGAAGACTAGTCTCTAAATTGACTTTAAATTGTCACCAAATCATGGTGACAATTCAAGAAAATGCCTGATCCTAAAACTCACCACTTGATGAATTTTTTTGGTGCGAGAAGGATCTATCCACTCCCAAGGGCACCGTCCACGTATACCTCAAATGACCAGGTTATCTGGGATATTAATCAGTTCATGTCAGGAGGCCAAAATAAGTGAGAGGTGTGACAGACACGGGGGTGTCTTGGGGCCGGAACCCCTTCCTCTTGCTCTCCTACGCAATGTGCCTTGCGGTGAGCTAGTCAACCAAGCACCAGAGTCACCAGAACAAGAGGGAGTCAATTGTGAGAGCAGAACAGTCACCTGTAGGTCGCTCTCCAGGTGCTCAGTAACCTCTGTGCGCAGCAGAGACATCGTCACCCTTCAGCTCACTCTAGGGGGCTGAGAAGCATGTGACCCGGACGATACCCACCCCAAAACACAACACACCCGCCATTCATTTGCTATGTGATGGATGGTTTGCAACAGTTCTTAAATGGTTGTCCTTAATCCCACCTCTCTCTGTAAGAGAAAGAAGATTTCAGGGGGAGAGCTGGAGCAGCTGATAAAACTGACTGGCAGTAGAGGCTGGCATTCGATTACCATCACCATAATGAGGCCAGGCAGCAACGAAAGACAGTGAGTCACTTTTAAAGAAGTCTGGCCAGATTCAATTCATTCACTCCAGACTCAACCCAGTAGCTCTGACCTTCAAGATCAAGAGGTTGTTTCAGAACTCATTTCAAAATACATCCACCCAAGTATGGTGATACCAATTCAAATTCAAGATATCAGAACACCAGCCTGTGACCAACAGACCCCACTGTCAGAAATGAGTCCAATACAGACTCTTGAGCTCTAAGTTTTTTAAATATATTTACTCAAGGACACAAAGATAATTGTACACAGATGCTCATATATATCGTAAGATGCTCAAATATTTGTAGGAGCAAAAAAACGGAAACAATTTGGATGTGCATCAATACAGGAAGACATTCACTGAACTATTTTAGTTAGTAAAACACATTCACAGAGTTATTTTACTTTACCCTTAACATCTAGTAGCCAAAAAAAAAAAAGAAAAAAAAAACCAAAGAATTGCTGCTATATCAAAGATACATTACTCACAGCCTCTGAGTTATCAATAAATGGATCTGTCTCATCATAGCCAAAGCCTATATCAATTAAATCTTGTAGCCGATCCTTCCGGTGCTTATGGGGCTTCCCACCCTGCAAAGAACAGACATATCAGACTGAGTACTCATGCTGTTTCCACGAAGTTAAAACAATACCCATTAGAATGCTCCCAAAGAATTGTCAGACATAAGCCCCCTTCCGGAAGACTGGATTTCAGTCCCCCGCACCCCCGGGCCCTGAAAGGAAGCGGCACTTTGAGACTGGCTCAGAGTATTGTGTGGAAAGGAGGGAACAGATTTTACAGAGACAAGCTTGACCGATGGTACCTGAGCCAGGTGAGCAAGGTGCGAACTCAACATGGATGGTGTGACTCTCACCAGCTTGTCACCCTAACGTACCAGACAAGCCTGATCAATGGGGGAAGGAGCAGAAACCCTCCAAGGTGCCAAGATAATCAGAGAGAAGGAATGTCCAAGAAACTACCCACAACTGGGCTGGGCCTGAGCAAAATGACCAAGTGAAAGTGGCATCCTGGAGAGGATCCAGGAACTGGAAAAGGAAGTCAGCAGGAAACATGTCAATCTGAATAAAAGGAGAGCCCGTTTTGATTCTCGGCCCATTGGTGGGAGCAGCCCCAGCAACCAGCACCACTAGGTGTGCCACCCCTCCATCTGCCAAGAGTTAATTGCCTAGATGACAGCTCAAAGGACTCGTGAGCCGGGTAGGGCCCAAATCCTTGCCCAGGTGTCCCTGCCTCACCCTTCCAAATGAGTTGCGAGTCTGGGTCCCTTAGCCACAACACACACACAGGGAAAGTGGGGACCATAATGAACACTTTGCATCTTTGCAAACCCAAAATGTTCTTAAAATTAATTTTTACAAAAGTCACAGAGGGCCAGAGAGATAGTATAGCAGGCAGGAAGCAGGCCTGCAAGCTGTTGGCCCGAGCCAATCCCCAGCACCCCGGATGGTCCCAAGAGCCCTTCCAGGAATGATTCCTGAGTGCAGAGCCAGGAATAACTCCTGACCATTGCCTGGTGTGGCTCCCTGCAACCCACCAAAAAAAGTCACAGAATAAAAAACACAGACAAGACACATGCAAGTTTCTCTATCTGCCAAGCTAAGGTTGTGTGAATTGATTCCTGTTGAGAGAAACTGCTCATGGGTCCCAAGGGCCTCTCTGTCCTATAGTTGTCATTTCTTTAAGTCTAAGCTTCTTTTAATTCTTGGAATTTTTTTTTTGTTCTTTAAAAATCAACCAAAACAAAACTGAGATAGAAACGAGACCCAGTGAGTGTAGATTCCCTTATTCATCACTCCAGCTGGTAACAAGATCATAAACTCTACCTGTAAGAACTGACATGATCTGCTGTATGTGTTCTCAAGATTATTCGTGTGGAGCCAGAGAAACACCCAATGGGATGAGCACACGCTTTGCATGTGCTCACGCAAAGGCCATGTAGGAGGCCCAGAGTTGCTTACAGCAACCTCTGAGCACAGGGATGGGAGGAGTCCAGGAATCTTTTGATGTGGCCCCAAAACAAACCAAACGACAAAAAACTTTGTATGTGGGCTTGTTAGATGTAGTCTGAGTCTACATGTCTGATATGTCTGTTCTTTGCAGGGTGTTCTTTGCAGTTCTTTCTTTTTTTTTGGCTACTAGATGTAGAAAGCGTATTATTACTGTAGCACTGGGAAAAGGAGTATTTAGCTTGACATCCAAGACTAATTTTAGCTACCAGTTCAATTGCATTCTTCGCTCTGGCCTGGGATTTTGGGACCACGCCTGATGGTGCTCAATGGGACTATTCCAGATGCCTGGGATGGAACCTGGCTGCCTGGATGCAAGCGGGCACTCAGCCTGCTGGGTGCTGGCTGTCCCTCAACTCTACTTTCTAAGCGTCTTTTTATTTTATTTTTTTTATTTTTAGCTACCTGGCAGTGCTCAGGTTTTACTCCTGCCTCTGCAATCCAGGATCACTCGTGGTGGAGTATGGGGGACTCTGCGGTGCATGGGGATGAAACCTGGGTCAGCCTGGAGCAAGGCTGTCCAACCCCGCCGGCCGGCCGTACTCTCTCTCCGGCCCTCTAAGCACTGTTTTAGCACCTTTCCCAACCTCTGCTGTCTTTGGGGGTGGGGAGGGAGGGGTTAGGGGAGGGGGGAGGAAGAGAGAAAAGGAAGGAGAGCATTCTACAGGGAATCTGCCAACAGCTGGCCATGCATAAAGGGTCGAGGGCGAGTCTGCGGGAAGCAGGAGGAAGGCACAAAGTGAGACCGACTCTGGCTCAAGGGCGTGCGGCAGCTCCTCATGCCAAGTCCAGTTCTCCTGGCCAAAGATGACATGCGTGGTGCAGCGTGCCTCTTCAAGCAAACGGCTTTATCTTCTTTCCAGCAAAGGAACTGTGATCAACCTCCGCGCTCTGGGACAATGTTGGGCCTAAGGGCTGGAAGTCTGACCCAGGGTGGCCCCTTTCTAAGCAATCTGCAAAGGAACTGCCGATGAAATGTTCTCCCTGAAAACACTTGACATTAAGAACCCTAAGCGAAGGAGCTCTGTGGCCCCACCCACCTCATCAATGTAGAAACAGCTCCATCCTGCTATCCCACTGAGGAGTCGTTAAGGTGGCCAGAGAGACAGCACAGGGTGAAAGTGCTTGCCCTGCACGCAGCCAACACGGCTCCAGGCCCAGAAACATCAGGAATGACCCCTGAGCACAGCACTAGTAGCCCCTGAGTTCTGCGGGCTATGCCCCCAAACCCAAAAACCAACACGAGAGTCACTATGGCATGAGATAATGTAGTGATGCCCTATTTTTCGATTTTACAATTAAGTAAATTTTAGTAACAATGCCGGAGATCATACCCAGAGGGACACACTTTTATTTTGCTATGTAAGACCAACGAAGACATCATGTCTGAACAAGGACAATCCTTTCCAAGAAAGACCAGTGACAGCCTTAAACACAAACAAACACATATGTAGCATTACATCTACATTAACATTTGTCTAGTTAAGTGCAAAACGCATTTAAAAAATGCACTTACTTTTCCCATATGCCTGGTCTGCAAACTGGCACCTCACACTAGGTTATGGGACTGCCGTGGAGATCCTAGTCGGGGAGGCAAAGACGCTGCAAGGGTGGAAGACACGCTGAGGAAGAGGGAGGGAGGCCAGAGTCCATCCCTCACACCACGCGGTTTCCCGAGCAGTAAGGGGTAGCACCCAAACATCCCCACCAAACACACACACACACACACACACACACACACACACACTAACACAAATTAATGTAAGGGGCCAGGGATGTGGCTTAGCGACAAAGCACAAGTCTTCTGCACATGAGGCCTGGGTGTGACTCTTGACACCACAAAATACTCCCAAAGTACAAACCAGGGAAAACGGGAGGTATTTTTATTTTATTTTGTCTCACTGGGTTTGGGGCAAGGGTATCTGCGGCCTTGGGAAATAGCGCCGGCCCGGGAGACAGCTCAAAGGGCTGCACAAGCACTTATGGGGGAGCCCCGGGCCCCCACGTACCAGAGGGATCTCCCAAGCAACAAGCCGGGAGTAGCCCCTGACCCCACTCAAGTGGCCCCAAACCTCAAGCCTGGCGAGTGACACGGTGACGTGCGTCCAGTGTGACTGTGGCCACTGCTCTGTTTTCCAGAGGGACCATGTGAAAATCGCGCAGCAGTTCTTCCAGCTGGTGGGAGGTTCGGCCAGCGAATGTGGTACATCTGGGTCCCCGTGCTGACCAGGGGACTGAGACTCCGTCCAGGGTCCGGCTTCCTGCTCTGGGCATGGCAGGCAGGCGCGGGCCCACTGGGGCATGGCACACACAGGCCTCAACTAGCAGGATTTTGCACCCACACCCCACCCCCGCACTCGGGCAAACACCCCAACCCCATGTGAAGCCCTGGGAAGCAACCCTCACTTAGCAGCAAAAGACAAAAGGAAGGTGTGTGGGCTGGAGCAATAGCACAGCAGGGAGGGCGTTTGCCTTGCACGTGGCCAACCCGATTTCGATCCCCAGCATCCCATATGGTCCCCCGAGCACCCCCAGGAGTACTTCCTGAGTGCATGTGCCAGGAGTAACTCCTGTGCATCGCGGGGTGTCACCACCCCCCCCAAAAAAAGGAAGGTGGGCGGGAGGGGGAGGGAGAAAACTTTAAAATAAAATCAAAAACCTAAAGCATCCATGAAAAAGGGATCCTAGTGACCCCACACCCCCCAGCCACCCCCACGTCAACAGGGGCTCAGCTCCACAGCTTCACCAATGCAGAAAGAGGCACGACCACACGCTACGAAAGTTCTGGGTACGCCAGTCTTGGAGGGAAGGCAGAGACTCCCTCAGCTCCACAGATCCTGCAGGGACACCTCCAAATCCCCTAAGACCAACACCCCAGTAGCAGTGCAGCAAACTAGAAGTCAGTCCAGAAGGTTCACGGAAACAGTAACAGCCAACTAGCAACAGTCAGCTCAGGAAATCCTCAACCAATGGCTTCAGTGACACCAGGGCTGAGAGAGAACAATATTCCCAAATTTACTGAACTGTTTTTGATGATTCCACTTACCACTGTGTTGTAAAAAAAGCAATATAAAAGAAATTCTTTTCTGCCTGCCAAGGGAACAGGCCGGGGCTGCGGGGGGGAGGCACTGGTGGAGGGAAGGTCACACTGGGGCTGGGACTGCGGCTCGAATACTGAGTGTCTGCAACAACTATATTAAAAACAACTTTGTAAACCACAGAGTTTAAAGAAAAATTAAAAAGTTTAATTAAGCTATTTTTTAATAAGACATTAATGTTCGGGCCAAAAGACAGCACAGAAGCTAAGGCATTTGCCTTGCACGGGGCTGTCCCTGGTCTGAATCCTCTGCACGGCAGAGATCCTTAGCACTGAGCAAGGAGGAAGCCCTGAGCACTGCTGCCAAAATAATGAGTCATGCTACAAAAAAGCAAAGTCAGTGGCAGGAAGACGGTTCAAAGGGCTGGAATGTGAGAGCCCAGGTTTAATCGCCAGCCCCCACCATGGTCACCTAGGCTCTACCTGGAATGGCCAACTGATTTCTCCCTCCCCTCAAAAAAAGAAA